AAATTTGCCTTATAGGCACGATAGAGACTACAGTTTTTATCCGATCTTCATGAAACTTGGTTTGCATGTATGGATTGATGAGATCTCAGTCAAGTTCGAAATTGGTAATAATCGGATGAATTGTTTCAGAGTTATTGCCCTTGACTTAGTAAAAACGCGTCAAATTTGGCTTGTAGGCATGATAGAGACTACAGTTTTTATCTGATCTTGATGAAACTTGGTATGCATCTATATATTGATGAGATCTCGGTCAAGTTTGGAATTGGTAATAATCGAGTGAACGTTTTCAGAGTTATTGCCCTTGACTTAGTAAAAATGTGTCAAATTTGGCTTGTAGGCACGATAGAGACTACAGTTTTTACCTGATCTTGATGAGACTAGATATCCATATAATATATTGATGAGATCTCAATCAAGTTAGAAATTGGTAATATTCGGATGATGAACAGTTTCAGAGTTATTGGTAGTGGGCGTATGTTACCTTGCCTGGCATGCTATCTTTTCAATGAGTTTTGTCGTCTTGATCGTGAAATACATAATACTTCATGCCGACATGTAGAGGAAGATGCCCCTTACCTTTCGTGAAAGTTTCAACTTGAAAAATCCAAGCACTAAGTCACAATTGATAAAATAATTCTTATGTAAGTATTTTATATCTCTCTCCATTTTTACTGTTCTGGGTAATAGTGACTACCCATTTATGAGAATATTATTTTTAGATATCAAAAATGATGAGAACTCAATTTTGACTGGACCAATTGAACCAATCAGTGTTAACTTCACATATTTCCAATCGGAAGATGCAGTAGAAAATAAAAGTAGCAATCAACTTTGTTATTTTCATGTCTCATTATTATGTCTATAATGATAATAATCCATTATTTACATGTAACAACTGGAGAAGTACACAAACAAAGTTAATTGTTATATTTCTGATCGAAAATTTGTCGCCATTTGTAAACAAAACCTTCTGCGCATGTCCGTAGTCTCGTAATTCCTTTCCCAGACGATAATAAACCATTCACAAGAAAACACCGGCCTCGCATCAATTATAACTTCAAATTTGATGTTTTAAACGATTTAAACTATTAAAAGGATTTAGATATAGTTTAGATTAGCATAATTCTTCATATTGAAAATAAACTGGTCTAGCCCTTTAAAATAAAACATAATTTGCTTTAAGAATATATAATATCTTGGATGAATTAAAATGAAGCTTATACAGTTTCCTTCCAACTGGATGGATTGAGAAGTTTGAAGTTGTTTCTTTAATCTGTACAAATTCTTATACGCCAACTTTATAATATGGATGTATATTGAAGTCAACCATATCTGTAAGATTTTTCAAAGAATGGTTTGAAGTTGATGTCTTTGAATGAGCACATCAAATCCTGCTTATACACACATTTGGAGCTACAGCTTGTGATGAATTTGGATGATACTTTGTTTGATCTATGTACAATAAATATGAAAAGAGTTGGTGCCTTGATATTTCTTGATCGCAATAGAAGCTACAATTTTCTAACAAATTTTATGAAACTCAATGTTATCAGAGAAATTCTATTTTTTTAAAAATATTTTTTGCACATGGTGATAACTTATTTTGGTCGTATTCTTGCGATAAAATGGTGGCAATGAAGCCCAACTACTTCATGGTGAATTTCTTGATACCTTAAACTCAGCCCAACAAATCTGGCTCTATCAGTTCCTCAGACATCATATCATATATCATGTCATATTGTCACAGTTAAGGCCAGACTCAAAAGGTCATGTTTTATGGGAGTTGTTCTGATCAATTTTTGGATTGCTAGTGTGAATCCTTAAGATATTTCTGTATATTCTGCAAAGCCCCTGTGCTTCATCCGGCACCACAATACAGTGGATGTATAGTGTTTTCCATTCTTTGTACAACTAAGTTAAGCATACCCTTGAACTGTATAGTGGGGCACACCAATATTGCAAAATATCATGAGGTCTTGATTGATTCTTGAATACAGGAAGAAAGGATTTTGTTGAATTCTGGCTTTTATGAAGCTGGCACATGTATTTTTTTTTGTAAAACCACATCTCTCCATTGAAGTCAATCCATTCCCAAACATGAAAGTTGCTAGTAAATACTGTAAAATCTATTAAATTTTCTGCAGAGTCTCAAGAAGAAATAAATGTTTTTTAACTTGGTTAAACGCGAATAATTCTGGATACACATTGATTTGAGGGCTCAAGTTTGACAGTGAGCTGTGACACTATTACTATCTTAAAAAATCCTATTTCTGAGATTGAGGTATGATGGGTTAAACGGATGGCAAACATGTCCCTTTAATCAATCTTCTCTGAAAACAGACCAGTTTTGGCCTGTACTAAAAATGAATGTTCGTATATATCTTTTGTTTCATTATTTATTCATTAAACCCATTAATTATTTTACATATTGATTACTATAACATACCCTCATGTTGAGGTATTTTGAAACCTTCCCTAGTTAAGTTGAGTATGTTGTTTCATAGAATCTATAGTTAAAATGCAGTAAAAATGAGGCACTACAGGAGTTATTGATTGAAGTTGCATTTCATATTCTCATTTATAGAAATTGTTTGACTCATTAATGCAGGAGAACATAACAAAGAAATCAACTCCAGGTATTGTTGGTTTTGCTTCATAATTTGAACTAATAATTTGGATGATATACCTGAATACGAGTAAGATTATGAAGAGCATGTACAGGTATCAAATGACATTTGTAGAAAGAGATAAGAGATAAATACATAAGCTTTCCAATGTAAAAGATCTCCGCTGTATTCTGAGGCATGAAAAGCCCATGCATTATTTTAATAATGTTCATACTATATACAGCTGTATATGCAGGTGTAAGAAGTTATTATAAATGAAATTACTCTTCAGTTTGTTATTATAGTCTTACTTATCATACAAAGAAGCTGGCTATCCTCATTTTCATAAATTTGAAATGCCTTGAGGAATTTGTCGAGATCTTGAGAACTTCATTATTGTGTTCGGTGCCAGTAGCTGTCTTGACCTTTAATTATCATACTATTATAGAGTGACAGTACTATTATACAGTCAGTGGTCAGTATTGAACTAACAATATAGTATATCAACCACCATTTACCTTGACTAGATCTATGAGTCATCCACTGATTACTAGTCAATATGGTCAGTACAATTTCTGATATTGGTTCGGCCTCATTTATCAACTTAATGATTTGCTGATTACATGAATAAGTCCAATATACTTGTACAGCATGTCAGTTGCTCTAATTGTAATCAATGGTCATTCCATTATACAATATTGATGGTTATTGAACAGTTGGTCCCGCTGAATTGAATATAGATTGTAATTGCACTTACACAATAAAACTTGTGGCCCGATATTGAGAACAATCATGCAGAAATAATTGGCAATTGACAAGATTAACCATATGACCAATCATTTTGTTCTAAATGTGATGTTCATTTCTTCTAACTCATAAACGTCTTGTGAATGAATCCATCTTAATAAATTGAATATAACTCATGATGGTTAAAAATGGCATTTTGTGAGTAACAAGAAAATAAATCCCTGGTATGATAACTGTTATTTTATGTTATGAATTATAAAAACTACATGTTATATGTAATGGTATTCATCCTCTTTTCTCTACAATCATGTCAAATTGAAGGAAATCCCTGGAGTATTAATGTAATGCACTCTAACTTCCTGTTAACGGAAGATTCCATGCTATGACACAATGCCTTGCTATGACTAGGTACCATTGATGGCTTTCATTTAAAATGACAATCTCACTTGCCGTACTTATACTTAAAAGCTTCTCTTTTTTCTCCTATCAAGCGCAAAAATCTCATTATTGGGAAATAATCAAAATGCTGTCCATTGCTTAATTCAGTTATAGGTGTGTGAGTCATAAGGTGAAAGAAAAATAGAAATGGCTTTGAGGTCTTTTTCTTACATGTCATCCTATCTGAAAATTAATGACCACAAATCCACTGTAAGCTGATTTTTATCGAGGGGGAATAAAATTTATAGAAATCGTGGCTGTAGAAAAAGATTTTTTATGTAGACTGAGAAGATTAACTTTATATTGAAACATAAAAATGGATTTCTGTAGAGATTAGTAGATCAATTATATATTGTACCAAATAGAAATAGATCTCTTTGATGTTATCCCTCATATAATGTCAGAAAATACTATGTAAAAATCAGAAATTATAAATAATTCACACTTCATAAAAAAAGATATTCTATACTATATTTCACTATCTCCAATTAAAAACTTTCTTTCCCAATAAATAACTTAGTTCAATAAAACAGATTAACTTTGGTAAATTCAATTAGCTGATATTTGTGTCAAATTTAGTCGCCAAGTCTTCTGAACATTGATCCTGGACCAGAAATCGGGAAAGTTGCCTGTAAAGATGTGTTTCCTTATTTTTTATGTCAAATTAAGCAAACTATTTGATTAATTGATGATTCTAATGAATTAACATGTATTCTTCATCATATCATTATGTTCTTATTGCATATAAATAACAGTTTTACCAATCATAAATGTCCAGGTATGTACAGTTTGGATTAAAAAAAAAAAAAAAAAAAAAAAGAAGACTTTTTGACCTTTCTTGATCTGTCACTCATTGGAATTATGACTTAATAATGGACATGTTAGACACCTCTATTCATATAAGTATTAGCATTTTCATAAATGAAAATAAGGGAACCCATCTTTATGTGAAAAGCACAAAATCTTCTCAAGAATTTTTCCGAAGAATTATTAATTGATATTGAATAATGTTGCATGTTGTTTGTTAGGTACAAACAATAGTTTTAAATAATATCATTTGAAATTTCTTGGCTATTGTCTTTCAAGCATATTTTTAATAATGATGGCTTTAAACTCCCTAATTTTGCTGATTTGCTTTTTTGACAACTTTATAATATATATTACAGGATGGAAGTGTAAACATAAAAAGCCGAATGTGAACTAGCAGTAATGTCGCTGACATCTTACGATGAATTATTAAAACAAGTTGAAAGTTTGAAGACTGAGAATTCATCCCTTCGTCAAGAACTACACGATAACTCCAGTCATCTGACCAAACTTGAAAATGAAGCATCCAATATGAAAGATGTATTGACACATGTCCAGTATGATATGGAAGGGGATTATGAATTTCACGAAGGCAATATTTATTGTGATGAAAATACTGCCAGCCTTGAAGCAAACTGTCAAGGTGAGTTGCTTTTTGCATGATTTTTGTTTTTAAGCAATTGTTACCAAATCGTTCATGGAAGCATTTTTCACAGGGAGCCACGATGGATCAAAATTATCATCATACTGATTTGATATCGATTAAGAGTTCATGTGAGAAATGGTTGGTTGAATCTTAATGAAACTTTTTGTGAGTTAGTTTGTTTTGTTCCAGTTAATGTTACATGAAAGAATGTTTCCTGGAAATCTTAAAGGGTCTAGCTATTGTATGTGCATCATTACAATAATGCGATGCAGTGACCATCACAAATGCTGCTGATAAATATATAGGAGATTTTAAGATAGTGATGTCATAAAACACTAAGATTTAGTTTTAGTGCTATAACAAGAACCACAGACATCAAACCGAAAAATGTAATTGTGCAAATAAAAGATACCAATGTCCTAGATTCACATAAAGCTTAGAAAACATCTTTTCAATCCCCATTAAGATCCAATCATACATGTTCATTCTAACTGAATCAATATGACAGATTAATAATTTCTACTTACTAGGTTAATGGTTTATCACAATAGAAAGAATTATTTTCTAAAATAGAAATATGAAAGTTGGCTTACAAACTTGATGTCTTCATCTTGATAATATTATAACAGACAAATAGCAATATAGTTCTTATCTTAGCTATTGTTTATCTAGGTAATGTTCTCTTCTAATCACCTGCACATTGCCAGGAGGAGAACTATTGATTTTCAGGAGGTTTTAGCACCATTGAGACCTGATCTTGACATATTCATATGTCTTAGCTGTAGACTTGTGGTTGTTATATAGTGTTTGATATGATCGGATTGTTTAGTCGACTGAATGAGTGTATTGTATTGAGTATTTTTCCTGATTATATTGGGAGGGTAATTGTTCCTGTTGAATATTTGATGGATGTTACTTGTGCTATTCTATCTACGTAAATGTTATCTATGTCTAGAATAAGACTTTATAGTATATATGGTAAGTTCAGATCTGACATCTTTTTTTCCTATATTTAAGTGGTTGTAAAGATTTTTTTTTTTTCGTGTGTTTGGGTTCTTTTATTTGCATAATTCCAATTTCATCCATTGTCTGTAATTGCCTGTAATTATAGACGTGTAGTTTTAGTTAAGTAGTTGGAATGGTGCAAATCAATGCCACCAGTTTCCCTTCTACACTTGATAATAAAAAATATAGACATTCTTATGCAATTCCTTTCAAAGGTGAATAAGGGTTGAATTAATGTAGGTTTTTGATTTTCATTAATGCTATAAAATAGAGATTTTTCTCCTCCTTTAAAAATGTTTTCATCCAAAGACTTTTGTAAGAAGAAGCATTTGTGTCAGTTTCACAGAAACAGGACTGGTGACTAAATCCAGTTTTGGTTTTTCCATTTATGTCAGCATGACAGAGAATTCTTTGTTTTCTGAACTTGTGTGTCCAGAATTATCAGAGTTTGAAAGTTAAAAAGACTATTCATAGTGCCATATCTTGAAAAGACATCTATAGAAATAGGAAAAGAAATTTCTAGATATATTTGATGGAATTATGCAATTTTCATACATTTTTAATACTTCTGAAGACTATTTACAAATATACAACACTCAAATCAACCCCCTAAAATGGCATCTGTCCCTTTAATAACTTTATTATGAACTTTCCATCACAACTATGATATATTCCCAAATAAACCCTGTAAATTTGTGCATACTTACACTTTGAAGTAGACTGGAACATCTGTCTGTATTCCAACCACTATTTTGACTTTCCCCATCTTTTTTAAACCTATGTAGATACCTCGAATCTGCAAAATCCAGATATAGTTGGAAAAAAGAATATTTTGTAGAATAGTCTCCCTACACCATTTATGTCGCGTCTCCAGTTCCACTAAAGTTTTTTTTAACAAAATTGATCTCGCATCTGCCATTTAAAACTTTCAAGAGTTCAAAGGTCAAAGTGATACTAACAAAACAAAAGTTTGCCCAACACTAATTTACAATCATATTTTTATATTATGTCAGAAAAAAGGCATTGTAGAAGGTGTGATAAATTCCCAATTAACGGTATATTTTTTCTAACTCTACCCCAGACGACAACTGTCAAAATATACATCAGAGGTTGGAAAATAGGCAGATGTTTCAGACTAACTTTAAAATAAAGATATGATGAAGAAAGATGTGGGGATTGTCTGTTTTTTTTCTATATATTAGCTTCGATTTGAGTCATGAAGGTATGGTTCCATTCTTAAAACTAGAACCATTTAACCTTTTAGAAAAAACAACTCAAATAACCAAAATAAGTTTGATTTCCTGTATGTCATAAAGAAAAGAAAATTTTGGCAGACATTTCAAACTCATCCTTTAATAGATTATGATCAAGTGTCATTTTTATACGCCCACGTTTAAGATTGGCGTATATTGTAATCACCCCGTCGGTCCGTCTGTTCACATTTGGCTCGTGCTCACTCTACAAGCTACAGTTCTTTAAGGATTCTTTTGATTTTTATTTTGTGTGTTAATGTTGTTATGAAGATGATCCCTATTGATTTTCGTGATGATCGGATAATTTTTCACCGAAATATCGTGTCTGACTTGACGTTTTTCTCTATTAGCTATATTGTGCAACTCGTGCTCACTCTACAGGCTACAATTTTTTACAGATTCTTTTGATTTTTATTTTGTGTGTCAATGTCATTATGAAGATGATCCCTATTGATTTTCGAGATGATCGGATAATTTTTCACCGAAATATCGTGTCTGACTTGACGTTTTTCTCTATTAGCTATATTGTGCAACTCGTGCTCACTCTACAGGCTACAATTTTGTACAGATTCTTTTGATTTTTATTTTGTGTGTCAATGTCATTATGAAGATGATCCCGATTGATTTTCGTGATGATCGGATAATTTTTCACCGAAATATCGTGTCTGACTTGACGTTTTACTCTATTAGCTATATTGTGCAACTCGTGCTCACTCTACAGGCTACAATTCTTTACAGATTCTTTTGATTTTTATTTTGTGTGTCAATGTCATTATGAAGATGATCCCTATTGATTTTCGTGATGATCGGATAATTTTTCACCGAAATATCGTGTCTGACCTGACGTTTTACTCTATTAGCTATATTGTGCAACTCGTGCTCACTCTACAGGCTACAATTCTTTACAGATTCTTTTTTTATTTTGTGTGTCAATGTCATTATGAAGATGATCCCTATCGATTTTCGCGATGATCGGATAATATTTCACCGAAATATCGTGTCTGACCTGACGTTTTACTCTATTAGCTATATTGTGCAACTCGTACTCACTCTACAGGCTACATTTGTTTACAGATTCTTTTGATTTTTATTTTGTATGTCAATGTCATTATGAAGATGATCCCTATCGATTTTCGCGATGATCGGATAATATTTCACCGAAATATCGTGTCTGACTTGAAGTTTCACTCTATTAGCTATATTGTGCAACCCTGTAGTCACTAAAGACTGTTTAATCATTTCTGACAGCTGCCAGTGGGCGTATGTTACCTTGCCTGGCAAGCTATCTTTTGTATTTGTAGAAGATAAATGTGTGAAGCTGTAGATTTATATAATGTGATAGATTGTAAAAATAATTCTTTCATTTTTTGATAACTTTGCTTATAATGTTACTGAAAAAAGGATGCCAGCCAATTCACTACCAATAAATATACCATAAACAAAGTACTGAACCGCAAATCCGAAACAACTTTGTCCAAAATGAGTATTTATAAAGTTACTGAATTATATAATTCCTCTTCATACAGGCTAAAACATAATGTTCCATAATGTTTAGGGCTGGGTAAAATGATCCAATTAATTGATTATTGTCGTTACAAATTTATAATTTCAATTATCGACTATCAAATTTGGTAAACGATTATATGTCAAGGTTAATAAGTAGTAATCTCTTCCACATAGGTTCCCTTAAACACATAATTTACCCACAATAATCTATAATAACTGCTCAAAGCAAGATTATAAATCAATAACGCAAAAATAAGCCATGAAATTTGGAATTTTAGCATGTTTTTAATTTAGCATTTACAAGGATTCCCCATTAAAATATTTAGATTATTAATCAATTATTGATCAATAGCCTGCCATCATAATCGATCTGAATTTGGTAATTGATACCCAGCCCTAAGTATGTTTTGAATATAATGTGGTTCCTCATTTGAAATTTAAGCTGCCATCTGGTAATCTCTGTTTTGTTTACTCTTTTAGTGGATATTTGGCTTTGTCAATCATTACAACCTTGAATAATCCAGATATTTCATGTTTTTGTAATCTTTGTAGTTTGGACAGATTTTTGTTTGGTTTTCTGCTTGTTACTGTTCGGAATTATTTTTGTTACAAATAAAATCATGGTTTACTTGGTTCATCTTTAAGGTGAATTCGGAAGTGAGGCACTACTTTCAATTAGTCAAAAGTCAAGACTGATGTATACACTTGAGATTCTATTCCTAGCCACACTAACAACTTCTATTTATTTTGGCTAATTGTCAAGGTTATAGAAATAGCTAACATTGAGCCACAACAATTATTGTCTGATTATTGTTTTATCTATTATAATATATCTTATTTTATAATAATGATAATAATCTAACCACCAGTTAAACATAGTAAGCATATTTACTTTTTATATCTTAGTTTGTTTTCTTCACATTTTTCATGCCTAAAAATTACTAATTCATATGCCAATTTTATTTTGTGGTTAGCTCCATGGATTGTGGGAGTAGTGTTTGAAATAATTTTCCTGGGTTTTCTGCTGTTGAGTGGCTGAGATCATAAGATGTTTTAGTTGTGTATGTTACACTTACATGTATGAAGTTGAAATGAAGTGATTATCAAAAAGGTTAAATTAAAGATCTGTTGTTGTTTTTGACCGAGCATATGGAGGACAAAGTGTGAATATATTTAGACAGTTTGAAAATACCCAAAAATTCTTTAGTGATTCAGGCTGACACATATAAGAAACTTGGCATTAATTGTACAATGATGTTTTTAGAATTGACATTGGCACCTGTCAATGCATTTTAGAAATAGCTGTCTCGGCTGAATTCAATATCAGATTTAATTCCTGAAAAAGTTTAGGATACATATGGTATTGTTTGTATGGTAAAAAGCCTTGTGGATCAGACCAGATGTATTGTGTTTTTTCTGATGTTATTTTAAAGAAATAGTTTCAGGGAGAAATGATGATCATAAAATGTGTCTTAGAGTTAGTGCTGGGAAAAATTATCGAAAAAATCGATTACCGCTGTTATGTCATGCCATAATCGATTATCGCAAACAATAAGATAACCTCCGCTAATTCTGTTTTAGTGGTCCAGGAACCATAATAAAACATGTTTTCGGCAGTCACGTACCTCAAAATAGACTATACTAAAACTAAGCTAAAGTCCCTATTGTCGTATGTCCTTCCATTTCATTGATCATAACAATCATTAATTTTTCTCATTCACAAAATATTTGAACAAATATTAGTTATGCGTATATAATTAACTAATATATGTACCGATATTCAGGCATTACTTTCACATTTTTTTTCAATTATTTATATTATATTAAGCTTTGAGCAGTGAAGGATTTCAAAAATATTTCTATGAATAAGAGCATGTACCAATCCCATTGTTTTTGTATTGAACGTAGGTGTTAACCATTCTGTGGTTACTCAAATAAAAAACAATTCTTGTAACTCAAAAGTTTATAAACTTTCGTTCCTGATATTTTATTTGATAGAGTGTGTGATCCCTTTTATGATGTTGAATGAGATTATCAGTATACCTCAGTGGTATTTGAAATATAATTAAAGAATGATTTACAAACTACAGGATAATTAGTAATGAATTTTCAGACAGAATCTTTATTTAAACCATTGAGGTTCATACTCAATCATGTGCTCTTAAATTGTCATATGAAATATGCCATTTGAAGATGAGGCAGAATTAAAGCACAGGAAGTAGTTTTTCTGTACTGAATGGCAATCATCATTCAGCAGACAGAATTTGATACATTGACTGAACCAAGACTAGAGCTTGTAGAGTCAAAATATACACTAGAGTCTAAGTAACATTACCTAGGTATTAAGTTGAAGTTATTTTGGGTTTTAGATGAGAGAAATGAAATGAAGAACAGATGGTAAATACTGATAATGAAACTTTACCTCAACTTTTATCTCTTTCTTCATCTTTTTTTATTATATTCATTAGGTAATTTGATTTTTACACATCTGTAAAAATGTACATAGATTCACAGAATTCAGAGGAAGGATCGGTAAGATATATTCCAGCCTTGACTGCTCTTAGGAGCTTGAAGGTGAACATCTGTCAAAATTTCTTGAAGGTGAACAAGTCTAGTCATCCACTAATACTTGTAGTAGTTAATAATGATGCAAAATAGTAATTATAACAAAATGATAACAAGAATGATAGGTGATAACAAGAATGATACTTTATAATATAACATACCAAGAAAGATACTTCAAAACATACCAACAAAGATACTTCATAATGTAACATACCAACAAAGATACTTCATAATGTAACAAAGATACTTCATAATGTAACATACCAACAAAGATACTTCATAATATAACATACCTACAAAGATACTTCATAATATAATAAGAAAGACACTTCATATTATAACAATAAAGATACTTCATAATATAACATACCAACAAAGATACTTCATAATATAACATACCTACAAAGATACTTCATAATATAATAAGAAAGACACTTCATGTTATAACAAGAAAGATACGTCATGTTATAACAAGAAAGATACTTCATAATATAACAAGAAAGATACTTCATAATGTAACATACCAACAAAGATACTTCATAATATAACATACCTACAAAGATACTTCATAATATAACATACCTACAAAGATACTTCATAATATAACATACCAACAAAGATACTTCATAATATAACATATCTACAAAGATACTTCATGATATAACATATCTACAAAGACACTTCATATTATAACAAGAAAGATACTTCATAATATACCAACAAAGATACTTCATAATATAACATACCAACAAAGATACTTCATAATGTAACATACCAACAAAGATACTTCATAATATAACATACCAACAAAGATACTTCATAATATAACATACCAACAAAGATACTTCATAATATAACATACCTACAAAGATACTTCATAATATAACATACCTACAAAGATACTTCATAATATAACATACCAACAAAGATACTTCATAATATAACATATCTACAAAGATACTTCATGATATAACATACCAACAAAGATACTTCATAATATAACATACCAACAAAGATACTTCATAATATAACATACCTACAAAGATACTTCATAATATAATAAGAAAGACACTTCATATTATAACAAGAAAGATACTTCATAATATACCAACAAAGATACTTCATAATATAACATACCAACAAAGATACTTATTAATATAACATACCTACAAAGATACTTCATAATATAACATACCTACAAAGATACTTCATAATATAACATACCAACAAAGATACTTATTAATATAACATACCTACAAAGATACTTCATAATATAACATACCTACAAAGATACTTCATAATATAACATACCAACAAAGATACTTATTAATATAACATACCTACAAAGATACTTCATAATATAACATACCTACAAAGATACTTCATAATATAATAAGAAAGACACTTCATATTATAACAAGAAAGATACTTCATATTATAACAAGAAAGATACTTCATATTATAACAAGAAAGATACTTCATAATGTAACATACCAACAAAGATACTTCATAATGTAACATACCAACAAAGATACTTCATAATATAACATACCAACAAAGATACTTCATAATATAACATACCAACAAAGATACTTCATAATATAATAAGAAAGACACTTCATATTATAACAATAAAGATACTTCATAATATAACAAGAAAGATACTTCATAATATAACATACCAACAAAGATACTTCATAATATAACATACCAACAAAGATACTTCATAATATAAGATACCTACAAAGATACTTCATAATATAATAAGAAAGACACTTCATATTATAACAAGAAAGATACTTCATAATATACCAACAAAGATACTTCATAATATAATGAGAAAGACACTTCATATTATAACAAGAAAGATACTTCATAATACAACATGCCAAGGATGAAAACGTATTCAATTTTTAACAAGTAAACACTCTATTCTTGACGGATTTTGACGAAACTTTGTGTGAGTGTTTGTTATCAACCAAGGATAAACGCTATCGAACATCAGCATGTAAAAATCAAAAGAATCAAAAAAATTTTAGTTTCAGTTATGACCATTGTTCTTAAAATCTCTATAAAGTTTTATCCTGTAAACACTCTAGAAGGCGCAATTCTTGACAGATTTTGACGAAACTTGGAGATATTATACAGGATCACCCCAAAAAGTTCAAAAGAAAATTAAGACTGAAGGTTGAATATTTAATACTGGTGATTGTTACTGCACTGCCAAATATTTTTATTTAAAATCAAAGCTGCCAATGGGCGTATATTAATTTACCTGGCAATCTATCTTTGGAAGCTGTCAGAAAACTAGTGTACCGATTTGAGTAAAATAAAGGCCTAATTGTAGAGAAATATGTCTCAATCAAAGACTCAATCAAACATAAATGGCAACTGAAATTTAAGCTTATGAGTATTAGTGAAGATCAATATAAGAATTGATGATTTCGTGATAGAAGAAAAGCAAAGCTGAATCAGTTGTTATATTGTGAAATATGTATGACTACCTAGTATGTAAATGGTAAAGTTCCAATCTAGTATAAATGAGTAATAATCAAGTTAATTTATTCCCATCTAAACAACAAACTAATATCTATAGATCTAGCTAAAATACCACTCTCAGACTGAGGAAAATTTCAATCAATGACTGACTCTCCATCTAGTTGAATATTATTAGCCCACACAATATGACCTAATGTTGAGTTTTCTATCTCTAAGCTGTCTACACGCTACAGTGTTTGACTGTTACTAGTGGAGAATGAAGATCATCAGTAATGTAGCCAACTAGATAGTGTTATATGTTCTTTAAACCTGGTAACTCCATTATTGGAACAATGTCAAATCGTCTTCGTTTCATTGATTTGCCTTTCAGTTGTGTATTTATACATAATGTGTGTATTTATGATTAACTGATGTTGTCTCAACAATGTGTTTGTTAGTGAGACAGTGTAACATCTGAGGTGTAATGGCTGGAACAAATTGTAAAAGGAAAATATAAAAAGGTTGGTCTATTATGAAAGCTGTGTAGAAGTGAATGGAACACATGTATATGGTTAATATGACCTGTATTTAATTATAATAAAATATCATTGTGAATATGAGAACTATTATTTGGCTATTATCATACCACCCTTTTGTTAATCGTGCATAAAATTCATGTTTTATCTCTAGTATTGTGATATAATGGCAGAAAAATTCCCAGTTTGAATGGAGAGCTAAAAGCAGATGAAATAAGATCAATTGAGATGTAGATTGGTCTCCTTTCTCTCTGTGACTTCTGCTAGTAAACGTTCACCATGTTGTTTGTATTATAGAATATGGCTTCAACACCATGTGAAATGGATACTAAAAGCTTTATAAAATCAGTATTTTTAAGTGATATGAGATCAATGTGTTTTAACACTAGTCAATGCATATTCGGGGTAGATATATGATGTCCTATTTTGATTCGGACCATTCTGACTGTACGTTAGAGGATATTGAAGAGGAAGATGAAGAGGAGGAAGAAGAAGAGGAAGATATTGAAGTAGGAACTTCAGAAGAAGATGAAATTATTATTGGTAAAATATTACTCTCTTGATCTCTTATGTTACAGGGTAAAGTTTTAAGGGATTTTGGTTTTTTTCAACAGTTAACATAAAATAAGACACCAAAAGGAGCATTTTGGGTAGTTTGTTTATGTCATACCTATCTTACGTTAAAATTAAATTGTCACCAAAATGTTCTCAATCAATAGCTCTATAGTTAGAAATGGAACAGAATTGATGTTTAATCTAAATGTGAAATGTTATATTTATTGTCAGTTTGAAGATAATTATACACAGATACATAATGTTATAGTGACATTAAATTGTTAATAATATTTCTATGTAAAAATATGAATTTGACTAAAACAGTCATTAAAATGTTATAAGCCTGGAGCCAGTTATGTAAGATGAATCATAATTAATTTGACAGTTCAACTACTTGATGTCAATAACATAATAACATTTATAATATTTTATATTCAGCAATTATTCAAGTATTGGTTTAGGTTCTTGAAAATACAGTTTTAAATTGTTTACAGTCAACATTAGGAAGTGATATCAGGTGTCTGGATCTCTTTGAATATTGACCTCCTGGGGTCAGACATCTTAAACAACTGTCCTATCTTGATAAGGCAGATGGTTGATATCTCATTTGAATAGTCAGGATGGTGGAGGTCAACTTGTCTGACCCACTGACTATAAATCTATTGTTTTCTTCATTGGGTCTGGAAGGGAATAAAGCAACTTACAGGGAAATATATTTAATTTAAGGTCAAATGTGTATCTTGTAATTAGGCAAACAGTAATTTAGTTGCTGTCATTGAATTTGAAATGTTCATTGTCTACTGCATTTTTATTTTCTCGGCACTTAAATGGTATACCTCGCTGGAATAAATTTTGAAATTTGAAAGATATTCAAATTGAAGATATTCTCTTCAGATTGAAATCCTCAAAAGTCTTTTAAACTAATATTACCATTTCTAGCACTATATCATTCATCAAATGATCAATATTCAAATCATGTTTTTCTGCGGAACATGATACTATAATTCATTCGAAATGCATTGTAGATGGAAAATGTCAAACAAGATATCAAATTATATACATTTATAGAAAAAGGATAGGTTTTTAATGGCTCAATAATGTATTTGATAATTTGAATATCAATTGAGATACAATTTCCATTATATCTATTGCATATGTCATATAGAATTTGCATCATTAGATAAGAATTTTTAGAGATTTGCTTGTCGATTGAGTTATATTATTTGACATGAAGTTAAGAACTCTCCTGAGTACTGTATTATTTCTGTTTTAACATTAAGTATTTGGTCATAGATTGAAATGTTACAGTAAGATATAAAATATTGATTGAATAGACCACTATTTATGTAAGAGTAAAATATTATTCAAGTCAGTGAAAATAATGATTGTCTGGGTCAGGTCACAAATCTACTGTATCATCCATCTTATTTATATTCCACAATTTTATCTCTTATAGTGCCTTTGGCTTGGCCAATCTTCAATTTACCAGTAATAGATGCCTAATGACTTGCCTGACCATAAGACTATCTAACAATTCAATATGGCTGATCTAACATCAAAGGCATGCTTTACAAGAATACAGTTCTTAATTTCTTTTATCAATCTGTTGAAAGTGATTACAATTTCCTTTGATGTTAAAGGTCAGAAAGTATGATGCTATATAGAATGATTTTTATCTGTCAGTTCTGATAGATTTTAATGTCTATTATTGGAATTCTCACTTCATAAAATTTTTTGATAATTAAAAAAGAACAAGAATATTTCAGTCTTCCAGTCTTCTAATAAGATTCAAGGTATGCAGTCTGCATTCTGGAACACTATAAAAAAAACTGTTAAAATAACTAACTAGAGTTTCTTTATGTATTAAGAAATTCAAAGGACATTTCGAATGTGAAATAATAATGTGTTACAAAACACCAGATTATGGCAATTTTCAGCCAAAATGTATTTTCATTTTTGCTCTGTGGGTGAAAACACAATTAAATGATCTTGGAGCGCTGTTATATATATTGTTTCTTCACAACAAAAGTTATATAAATATAGTTTTACTTATGTAGGCCCTGCCACTCAAACTCAGCATTAGGCTTATTCAGTGACAAAAATTCTATTTGAAGTAACAATTGACTATTTAAAGAAATTAAATGCCTTTACTTAATCAGTCGTAATAGTCTGGTAGAAGGATTTTATGCTGATTTTGTTCTGTTTGAGAAATGTATTATTGATATTTTATGATGGAAGACAGGATATTGGGTAGATTAGCAGTTAGAAAGATTAACAACAAGTTATTGATTATATCTTACATCACATATTGTCATTTATATCACCTCAACATCTGTCTGTGTAAGAGAGATATTCTTATATTTAAGGGGTTGGATTGTCATTCATAACTGTCTGGGAGAATGTTAAGGGTGTGGGATTACACAGAGTCCATGGTTGGACTACAAGAGACCTGAACATCAATTTTTATCAGGTACTGACAGCTGGTAAAAGTTATCTGGCTGGCTTTGTTGCATAATTTGGTTATTGTGCAAATTTATTCTTGGGAGAAATTTCTGCATAGTCATTGTCAGAGTCATTGCAAAGTTGTTTTTTTAATGCAAAATTGACCTCAAAATCAGGAATTGAATCTTGAATCTGACTACCACATTTACTGACTTAAATTTTGAAGAAAAAATGTCAATGAATTGCACTTATAGTGACTTCCCTCACAGTGGGAAACCAGATACTTTCAATTATAGTCCATTATTATACTTTTAACTGACGCAGTTGTTTTAAGACCCATTTTAGAAGGTTTATAAGATGCTGAGTGGAGTTGTAGAGTACTCTACAGGTGTTCCTAATTTATTGGCTAATTCAATGCCAAAATAAGATGAAAACAGTTGCTGAATGGTTGGCTACCAGCCAATTGTAAAATGATGGAATATACTTTATAAATTAACAGTAATACTAATTGGTTACAGCTCAATTTGTGAGCATGAATACAGAAATTAGATTCAATAAAGTATAAACCTGATATCTCACAAAAAGTTAAAATGAAGAATATGGCATTTAAAGTATACTATGTTTACTTTTCAAAGCAAATGAATATTTCAATGTTAAGATAATGATATTGGCCTTGATCAGGTTTTTGCTGATCTTATAGATTATTTAAATTGTTTTAGGGAAAGGTGAAAAAAGGGTCCAATATCAATACAAGAGACATGAAATTTCATTTTTTAACTGAAGTAACACCTTAGTCAATAATGCTCAGTTTTTAGAATGTGTCTTATTTTTTTATAATTTGTCATCAATTAGAACAATGAAATAGTATTTGAAACACTGACTGTCTTGTATTAAAGTCTGTGAAAATTAGCTGTGTTAGAAGTTTAAACCACATTAAAATAGCCTAAAGGTTAATAATAGAGATGAAATAACAGAGAAACACTTGAAAGTGATTAAAATTGTTTAAAGTGTTGTTAACCCATCATCTTTAAGAAGATAATTGTCATATTTCATTGATCACAAATGTCTTGGATGTTGGTTAAATTGTGGGTAGAAAATTAAAGACTCTAGTATATTGATCATTGATCTGAAATAAATAGTTTGTATTAAAGGAAATTCATTATTAATATTAGATTTTGCTCATTTTGTCAGAACACTATTTATCTTTTATATTATATTTCTTCAAATATATTCATATTATTATTAATTTTTTACTACATCTAAGTTCATGTGATTTTTATTTTCAAGTTTACCATGCATGCCATGTAAGTGGATACACATTTAATTTCTGATTGCATTATATTCTGATTTGGCATCTGAAGTTTGTGGTATCTGAAATTCAAGAAAAATTAGAGAAGATTGTTAAGTTAGTTACAATAGCAAGACACATTTTGCTTTAATGATATTTGCAAGTGATGATCTATTTTGCATTGTGGTGTATATGATATATGAATGGTTTATTTAAACTGTGCTATCATATGATTTTTAGATTTTTACTACAGAAGTGTTTTATTCAATTTAATTTAACTCAGTATAATATTAGAATTTATCTTGAATTCTAGTATATAGATTTTTACAAGTGCTCATTTTCTAAATGTTATTTTATAGAGAAAACGAAATAAGAAGTTATTTTGAGAATATTACTGATAAGATAATGTGTAATGTAGTGATGTTAACCATTTAATGATAGAAATGCAGTCTGATGCATATTATTATCTTGTATCTGATCTAACTGAATCATAATTTAGATGAGTAATAGTAACGTGGAGTTTTACTTTTATAACTCTTGTGTGTTCACATTTAGGGATGGTCTGTAGCGCACTTTTATAAGACCATCATTGACTTAGTTACAACAAACAAATGATTGTCATAGGTTCTAATCTCAGTCGATGTGTGGAAATGTGGTAACTTTAAGATCATCTTTCCTCATTATTCAAGTCGACTCAGCTGCAAATCAGCACTGATATCTAAGAAAGATTCATGCCAAAAGGTTAAGCCAAGGACCAGTAGACAGGATCTTCATGAACTTAATTTGTTATCCTTGTAACAAATGATTGTTTCTATTCTTTTGATAGAAAACACTAGAAATTGGAAAAATAAAGGTAGACTAGACGAAAACTAGAAATTTATTTTTCCAAGTATTTGAAAATTGTTCTCTGCTTTATTATTTATTAAATAGACAAAATTGAAAATAAGAATTATGAATTGAAGTATGGTTTGCTAAATTAACCGTTTCATCTGTTATTTGCATTCTATATTGAGAAGAAAAAGACAATATAGATTACAGATAAAATAGGTACAGAAATAGATTTACTCACAATCATGTTTTATCTAGATTATGATACCAGTCTTTGATTTTGTTTTACTGCAGTTATATTTTAATAAACAATATAGAATCAACTGTTTCAGAATTGGTACAGAAATAATTATTTGGCATGAATTCATAGCTTCACGTCCAGTTATTCAAGCACTTGTTCTAGACAATAAAAATATCATGGGCTAGACAGAAGTAGTTTGCTAAATAATAATAGTAATTGGGAAAGAATCGTGTATTATATATATAATAAGGCTGTGTTGTCCTATATTAGTCTCAGCATTTTGCGATACAACAAAATAATAAACTGAAGAAATAATACTAAGAGAAACTCATGCTTGATGTCTGCCTTCATGTACATTCTCAAAGCAAAGCAATATCTAGTGAACACAATGTAGAATGATACATGAAGGTATGGATAGAATTGTTTGTTTGACCGGTTACAATTGTTAAAATCAATAATTCCTGAGAGTTAGAATTACACAGCCATTGTATGGTACTGTTCTTGACACTACATTGTCTACAGTATAATTTTACAAGGAAGATATTGGATTACTTCTGATACTGAAACTTTATCACTATCAAATATTAATTGGCAATCTTTGTAATAAAATGTAATGAAAAGAAAATGAAATTTATTTTTGTTAGTATCTTGTGAATAATATTTTGTAGATAAATAATCCATATCTACAAGTTTTAAGTGCACAGATTACACCCTTGATGAAGAGTTTTTTATTAATTTTAAGTGGAACCTGATCAGAGAGTTTCTGGTAAATTTTTACGTGTAGGATGTTTAAAGGAATGAGAAAAAGTTTGGAAATTTTGTGTTTTCAATATGCATTAATGTGTATCTAGAAGTAAGTTTAATGATATCAATTGCTAATTAATTTGCAATTATATTAATTAATATAAATTTATTATTAAATTTCATTCACGCAGTATGATTCATTTCATCTAAATGCTTATTAAAATTTCAATTTATGTAATGGTTTTTAGTGATAAATTGGTATTAAAATAATAAATTGAATTTCTCTGATATAGAAGTTGAATGACTTTTTGATTGATTAATAGGTTCATCACTGTTAGACAGGTAGTTTAAAATGATTATTATTGGTGGCATATTGGTTATTTAAAAACATACACAACAGATTTTTCAATGAGGGATTCTACAAGTCATTTGAAATCCACACTGAAAAAAAAAAACATTATTTTTCCAAAAAGAATTGTAGGTTTGACTTATTGCTCTTGGAATAACATAAGCTTTTAAGCACAATTTGCAAAACTTTGTTTTATTGAGTAAAAATAGAAATATTTTTTTAGTTGTATTATGTTGAGCCTTCTCAGTAATTAATGCAAATTATGAACAATTAGAGATATTAATTGATTTAATTACAATCCACAACCTTTTTGTATTATAGTATGATAAAACTATTATTATGAATCGGTCAATCACTACCATGTTGACATTATGAGGTATAATAGGATTAGGGATTAGCAGGATTAACTTATTAATCTAATCAGAAGGTATATGACTTGTATAAACATGTACCATATGTTATAACTGATTTATTAATAATAAATGAGAGATAGTACTGAAACATGGAGGATATCACATGTAAGAAATTATTTTGTACATGTTCTTCACTTGATGGAATATCAGATATCACAAACTTTATCGGTAAGTTTTTTTTTGTGAATCAAAACATATTAAGTTGCACTGGTTTTTAAGATTTCTGGTTTTTGATATATTTTGCTATTTTCTACCACTTCAACAAGAAAAAGGCAATTAAAATCATACATCTTGAAGGGAAGTAAACTGGAAATTTGTTGATGCTCAGATGGACTACCTCATGGCATTTACAGAAAAGTACCATCAGCATAACGAGTAATATTTGAGTTGATTTATTATTATGTGATATTAATACTAATAGAAACATGTTCTGATCAGTAGGAACTAAGATTGACCAGTACAAAATGACCAACCAAATGACAGTTAATAGTAATTGATTGATATATTGGACACCAGGTTGTTTGAGTTCTGAATGTTGAGACATTAGATGTATGTGATATTATTTAGAAGGAATCTTGTAACAAATTATTGATATTGATTATAATGACAATGTAACTGCTGATTGTAAAGACAAACCCTTTCATCATGTCATGTCTTTATGTTTTAAGCACAATAAACCATTTCTTAAAAGATAGTTCAAGGATTTCAAGTGTGAACTAGCTTTGTTAATGTTATGATTTCTTATTTCCAAACAGAAAAATGTTTCAATTACAACTGCAGCTGATAAAATCAGTTGAACATGTTGAAAAATTCACCTAGTTCATTTTCAAACAGAAGCCTTTTGCCTGTAAAGTTTAGTAAGAAACATAAGCATTTTCTTTGTAATTTTCAGTCAGTTACAAACAGAAGCTTTTATGGTTGTATAGCTCAGTTATAATCAAAAAATTTTTCCCATACCTTAGTTCAGTAACAAACAGAATTTTTTCTGGTCTGTTTAGTTACAAACTGGAGATTTTTTTCCTGTATAGTTCAGTTACAACCAGAAGCAGCTTATAGACTAAAGACTAAAAGACTATATACAAAGTCTTTTTCCCATACCTTAGTTCAGTAACAAACCAGAATTTTCCTCTATAGTTCAGTTTCAAACAAGCTGTGTGGTTCATTTTTAATCAGGAGCTTTTTCCTTGTGTAGTTCATTTCTAAAGAGGAGTTTTTTCTTATATAGTTCATTTCTAAACAGGAGCTTTTTTCTTGTATAGTTCAGTTACAAACAGAAGCTTTTTTCCTGTATAAAACTACTGAGAGTACTGGTCCAATTCTATATCAGTACAAAAGGTATTAAATGTTGAATATATCTTTATATTACAGAAGACAGTCATGATGGTCATGATTTAACATTAGGTATTGATGATGATCCTACTAATTGGTTAGCACCAGATGATGATGATGACAATACTGTCTCACCAGAACAAGAATTATTCTCTCTAATGAGACAACTTGATGATGAAAGGTAAGATTATGCCAATATTTTAGATACAGTATATATTATGATTTAAATTTTTTTAATGTCCCCTGGTTCTTGTTAAAGATGAGTTGTTTATTCTTACATTCATTATATATTGCAGTACCATGTTTGAATTCTCTGCTTTATTGACTAAATACAGTTAGATGTCATGTTGCAAAGACAATTCAATGTTTTTGCAACAAAGGAAATTTTTAAAGCAATTTGAGGCTAAGAAATGCTGCCAGTGTTTATCAAATGTTGAATTAGAATCAAATGACAGAAAGACACTTGACAGTACATTTATTTGATTCAGTCGGTGTCAAGGATTTATATTGAATTCCAACCTATTTTAAGAAATATATTGAGTAATTATATATGTGATAATACAATTGTGTAGTTGATAACCAATATATACAAAGTGAATTGAAGCAAAGAGAACTAAAAGTCTATTACCTATATGTTAATATCTATTATTCAAGTTAATGCATGGATATATAGTATCTGTATTGTATAAAATCAATAGATGTTATTATGATATGCTATTGTTCTCTAGAAACTGTATATTACGTGAAGCTGAAGAAGAAAGTAAACAGAGAAAATGGTTTTATGATCAGTTAGAAGTCATCAGTAGTAAAATTGATAATTTACCTCTTACTGAACAGGTATTAGTGAAATATTTTCTTTTAAAGGGACAGGTTAGCCAACTGTTTGACAAGATTGTTTTTAGCTAAGCTAATCAGTAATAGTGTTCACAGATCACCGTCAAGTTTTAGCCTTTAAATCCATGTATAAAATTACTAGTTTGAGGTACTTTTGAAGGAATTATGTGATTTTTGTACATTTCTATTATTCTGAAGACCATTTACATATATTCGTACACAAATTGGCTCCCGAAAATGGGGAATCTGTCCCTTTAAAGATCAATGAAGGTCAATATTTAGATGCCTGATATATCATCTGAAGTGGTTTAGTTGCATTATGGTTTCATGATGATGTAAATCAATATAATAGTTGATATTGTACACTTGTTCTGTGAGTAGCATTTTATGCTATCTAATGATTTATTCTGGATAGTAAAACATTGAAAAACTTACTCTATTGGAAGATTTCACCATTAAGCACATATGTTGCATTGATATGAGTTCTGTGAAAACAATTGCCAGATACATGTGGAGATATTGGTCAAAGTGATAAAGTCATTGTGAACATGAATTTTTTCCGTTTTATTGAATATTTTGAAATTGTAAATAGGATGAAGTGACAGTGACATTTTATGATTAAAATACAGTCAATAAGACTTGAGATTAAATTTTTGTCAGATTTTTAGATATTTCTATTGATTTAAAACTGAAAATGGTATAAGATGTATTTTGACCGATGTTAGATTAATGTTAAGTATTAGAAGTGCTTAATCTTTGCTATTTTATATTGCAGTATAATTTACAAAATGATATGACAAGACGCCAACTAGAATATGATGCCAAACAACTCACAGAATCATTGCATCAAAAACTTGGTACTGGTGATCAAATTGCTGTCAGACAAAGTTCTAGAGTTCAAAGGTTACGAACTATTGAAGCTGAAATGATGGAACTGCAAAAACGACGCCATCAAATCCAGGTAAATAATATCAAAATATAAAAACTAAAGAAAAGTCTCCGTTGAAGTTTTAAGTCTAGGCTCTATTTTATCAAAAATCCTCTATTTCTATTTAAATACTCAGTTTGAAACAATAAATACACTAAAATAGAAAAGAAATGATAAATTTAGAAATAAGCTAGTAATTCAAATCAGAAAAATAAGGATAGTGTCAGGATGTAGTTAAAATTTGAGAGTACATATTATAATGTTATATACTAGTATAATATTTAAATGTTTGGTATTATAGTTTATATCTATAACATTGGTTCTGTAAATGTTTCCCTTATCTTATATCTCATATTACAGAACCTGGTTAAACTTTTACTTTCAAACAAAATATATCATACAAACTTACTATCTGAAATGCTATCATCAGTTTCAATCTGTGTAGTTTTGAAAAAAAAAAAACACAGCTTGCCATTCTGGCCTAATCTTTTCAGCAAGAATCATGTCTGGAGTGGGTTAATTGTAGCTAGAAATAATATTTCATATAAGAGGGATAACGGAATGGTGCAGATAAAGCTTTGTTTCCCAAATTCACTTAAAAAGCTTTTATAAGTCCATAAAAAAATAATTTGCTTTTTGGATAATTCCTCTCATGTTGCAAAACATTGATTTTTACAATAATTCCTCACAGGTTCTACTTATCAAATGACATGTCTTTGTATATAATCATTGTAAATGTACATTATTAATATTAACAGATGGCTGAGATGAATATTGGTAATCTAACATTTCAACCTAAAGTTAAAGATATTGGTGTTAATACTATTATCTGTGGAGAGGTAAGAATCTTATAGTTATATTTTGCACAAAGATGAAATGATTCTTTGAGAAAAATGATGTCAATGAGGTTTCCTAGGCTTGTTTATGTGTACTAGGCACTCTTTTCTAGCATTGTGTTGTGTCCAGAAAATGCATTACAATGCAAATATTAAAGTAAAGAGAGAGATCCTTCTGAGTGAATAAAAGTCGGTTTTAGTGATTTAATGTTTACTTTGAGAGACCACCTTCTTTAATAGACCACTTTGGATTATTCCCAATGACTGGTCTATATATTATTACTCATATATGGAACAGATAAATATAAGTACATTGCTAAACATAAGATTGGCATTTTAATTTCAGGTATTTGTACCAAAACCAGGAGTAGAGAATAACAGTTTTACTTCAGATAAAAGAATGATTACGTCTAATACTGGTAAATATTGTGTATGTATAGCCACACAAACTACTGATGTTATACTACAGGAACTACCAGCAGATGGAATGGAAGATGGTATTCCATGTACACAAAGCTTGTCTTCCATCTATCATGGTGCTTGGCCCAATGTCAAAGGTAAAAATTGAAAAAATAAAGAATATAAAAACATGAAAAAACATGAATAGGACATTTTAAGTCTTGACAGATGATAACTGAGCAATATGGAAGAGCAGCTTGTTAATGTGAGTTAAAAAGAAAACAACCATTGGTATAATGGATTTATGAAGTATTACAATGATTCATACTTAAATGAACATTTTTTTATTTTGAATAGAAGATGAATCAAGTAGTGGTAGTATGACCAACCATCATGATTTATCAAGTGTTATGAGTTTTAATTCTGAAACATCAGGTAGACAACCACCACCAGCAGTAGAATTTGTAGAACCTCTGCCACCATCTTCACAACAACTTGGTACCAGGGTAAGTGTACTCTAGTTTTAATGAAATCCACCATTCATGCACCAACAAAATACACATGAATACTTCTGTAAAGTTAAGAATTCATGTAAGTTTATCTCAGTGCTTAGAAAAAATTCCATGAAATTTTGTTCCCACTACATTAAATAACAATATATCACACCAATCCTCTTATAGCCTATCTCTGTATTGAGTGATATTGATGTACTATTTATTGTTCTTTATATTACAGGTTGAAATGGTCTATAGTTTGTTGTCAATGTTAGGTACCCATGATAAAGATGATATGAGTAGAACATTATTGGCAATGTCTTCATCACCTGATAGCTGTATAGCTATGAGACAATCAGGTAAATTAGCATAATATTTAATATTTGGTTGCTCCAAGGCACAAACTTGTGTCTGAATTTAAAATAAGTGAAATAGCAAAACAAGGACCAGAAGATTTTGTAGCTAAAGGGAGATAATTTGTATCCTGTGAACAATAGACATCCCTCATATTCAATACTGGTTTAAGTTTGGGTGAAGGTGAATAGTATTTGAAATATTATAGCTATAAGAATAGCTATGTAACTTTGAAAGAAGGCATCAGCATGTGCTAATTGATTTAATTTTGTTTTGATCAAGTGGTTTTTATTGTGATGTTACCTATCTATTACAGGTTGTTTACCATTATTAATACAATTATTACATGGTAGTGATAAAGATTCCGGATTATTGGGTAACACACGAGGATCTAAACATGCTAGAGCTAGAGCTTCTAGAGCTTTACATAACATTGTACATTCTCATCCTGATGATAAACGTGGTCGTCGTGAAGCCAGAGTATTAAGATTATTAGAACAAATTAGAGCTCATTGTGATCAGTTACGTAATGATTCTACAGAAGATGATGAAGGTGAGATTAGTTATCAATTATTCTACTTTATCTAACTACAACCCTCACCCCAAATTGATCCTCAATTTCCAAATTATCTGTTCTTATGTTTTTGTTATCATGCCTGATACTTTAAGTAAAAGTGTTGCTTATGAAATTTAAAATTATTTTTCAGCTGGTCCTCAAAGTCAAATAGACCATCAACCAGGCCCTGCTATAGCTGCTCTCATGAAATTATCATTCGATGAAGAACATAGACATGCAATTTGTACCTTAGGTAAGATAATTTTGAAATGATTATTCATTGGACAATATTTTGGAGTGTATCTGTGCAACATCTTGAGAATTGAAGTCTTAACACCTGGATAAATAAACTGATAACAGGTTGGAGACTGTCTTCCAGTAAGCGAGTGAGCGTGTTGATTGTCGTCTTTGTTTTGATATTTCTTTTAGGTCTGTTATTTATGAATATTCGTTATTTATCTTTCAGGAGGTTTACAAGCTATAGCTGATTTATTACAAATAGACACCCAAGTTTATGGTAATACAACAGAACAAGTTAATATTACTATGAGACGTTATGCCTGTATGTCATTAACTAATTTAACATTTGGAGATGGTACTAATAAAGCTTTGTTGTGTTCTATGACAGGTGCTATGGCTGCCTTGGTTGAGCAGCTCAACTCAGCTAATGAAGATCTGTGTCAAGTAGCTGCTAGTGTGATCAGGAATTTATCGTGGAGAGCTGATTTAGCCAGTAAGAAAATATTGCGTGAAGTGAATGCAGTCAGAACACTAATGTACTCATCTATGAAAGTGAAAAAAGAACCAACATTTAAAAGTATTTTGAGTGCTCTGTGGAATTTATCTGCTCATTGTACAGAAAATAAAGCTGACATTTGTGCTGTGGAAAATGCTTTGGAATTTCTTGTCAGTATTTTAACATATAAAAGCCCATCAAAAACATTAGCTATTATCGAGAATGGTGGTGGTATATTACGTAATGTCTCAAGTCATATAGCTGTACGTGAAGATTACCGTAATATACTGCGTCAACAAGGCTGTTTACAGATTTTATTAAAACATTTACGTTCACCTAGTTTAACTATAGTGAGTAATTCATGTGGTACTTTATGGAACTTATCAGCTCGTTGTGCTGAGGATCAACAAGCCTTATGGGAAATGGGTGCTGTCAGTATGTTACGTAATTTGGTGCATTCAAAACATAAAATGATTTCAATGGGAAGTTCTGCTGCTTTAAAAAATCTGTTGTCAGCTAGACCTAACCTAAAAAACATTGACTTTGATCGACATTCTCAATCTGGTCGTCCTTCTTTACATGCTAGAAAACAACGTGCTCTGGAATCTGAACTTGATCCTAATCTTTCAGAGACATGTGATAATGTTGATAGTCCTCGTGACAGTCCTAATATTCAATCAAAAGAAAATGACAATCGTAGATTCAATGAAAGTGATTCACCTAGAAGACCTTTAATTCGTGGTGTGTTATGTAGGAGAGGCAGTAGTGAAGGTGTAAATGGATTAGACAATAGGTTGCGATCACCCCAGAGAGTTGCTAGATCTGGTAGTCAAGATAGTGTAGGTAGTACCCATTCAGACATTTCTCATGATCGTTCCAGAGTTAACAACATGCTAGCTAAAAGCTCAAGACTGCTTTATGAAAGACAGGGTGGAAGTTTGGAGAGAAAACATGAAAATAGCTTGCACAGAGTCAGCTCTGATGGAAATTGTGACAGTACTCACTACCCTAAAAATCGCATTGTTCAAGCCATGCAAGAAGTTGCCATGCATGTTGGTATAAACCCTGGTGCCAATGATATGAAAGATCCTCCAAGAAATATGCGTGCCTTGTTGCTGCAAAATGCACAGACCAAATCAGTACAAAATCCACCAAGAAATATGGAGAACTACATCTGTCCAAGCCATCTGAATGATTATAGTAATAATGAAGTGACTGATGAACCAATCAATTACAGTCTCAAATACCAAACTGGTGGAAATAAAGACTCACAATCATTTCCACTTAATAACCGACCACAACCCAAAGTTAACAACTTCATACCACCACCTAGTCAGGGTGTACGCCCAGCAGTATTCATGGTTCACAATCGTTTTCCTGAACCTGCCAATGCCAGACATGTTCAAACATTATTTAATCCTCAAGCCAGACATGCTGCTCCAGGATTTGGTAGTTATGCTGAAACAGATTTAGATAGTGTTGACCAACCTACCAACTTCAGTTTACGTTATCCTGAACAAACTGATGAAGAATATCCAGAACAACCAATTAATTATAGCGTTAGATACCAAGCCCCTGATCCTCAATGTGCTGACTGTAAGTTAGAAGAAGCCAGGTATTTAAATGATCAGATGGAAGAGGATATAACAACTATGCATGGTGACCAGATGAAGACTTTCTGTACAGAGGGTACACCTTATTTATCGACTGCTACGTCACTGACAGATTTGGTTAATGCTGGTGTTGATAAAACAGAAACTGGTGATAATGAAACTGATTACAGAGAAGTACCACAAGATGAAATTCAGAATTACAGTACTAAATATAGTGATGAGAAAGACAGAAAAGATCATGACAATTATCAAGATGTAAACCATAGAATGAAAAATGATGTACCTAATCATTATGATCAACCAAGGAACTTTGCTGTAGAGGAAACTGACCAAATGCAAAATTATGCTCCAAGAGATAATACTGGTGCTATGGATCAAACAAAAACATACAATGAAGAAGGAACTCCTGTCTGCTTTTCCAGGGTTAGTTCAATGAGTAGCTTGCACAGTAGTGAAGCTCGTGATCATCCTGATCATAGAGCCAGTGTCTTGCAGAGTATTGAAGAAAATGAAAAGTCTGATTGTATGACCAGCTCTGTGATAGAAAAATCAAATGTGAAGTCACCAGACAACAGAGAAATTCATCATGAAGGTAGATCAGGTGTCTTGAAAGCAAACGGTAGTTTCAACTCTGAGAAAGAACATAAAACAGTAACCTTTGATGACAATCATCATGTTGAGGAAACACCACTAATGTTTTCCAGATGTAGTTCGTTGGGATCTCTGAGTAGTTTTGATGCTCAGTCAGTTCACAGTTCAGTTGTTAGTGATTACAGCAGAAGAGCAAGTGAGGTTGTTTCTCCTAGTGAACTACCAGACTCTCCAAGTGAAACCATGCCCCCTAGTCCAAAACGCCAGAGATCACCTGGACCACATGTGAATGCAGATGAGACTGGGTCTGATAGAGATACTCCTAAAGAATTTACAGATGTAGCGGCTTCACAAGCTCAGCTCATTAAGCCTTTGAAAAATCTGTTGTCGCAATTAAAATCTGACTCATCAACTTCAACAACAGTAGAATCTCCAACAGTTTTTGCAGATGAAGGACCACCACCAGGATTTTCTGATACTAACAGTATTCTAAGTGCTTTAACAATTGATGATGGAGAAAATGCAAATATTATCACAAGACAAGAAATCAAGTCCTTTGCTGATGAAGTTTGTGAGGATAATGAAGATGATGATGACGACGGTGATGATGTAGAGTTACAGAATATGCCTAATGAAGATGATAACAATTCATCAATGTCTGAAGTTTCTGAGGGAGAAGAAGATATTTTAGCTCAATGTATCAGTTCAGCTATGCCTTTACCTAACAATTCTAGTCGAAAGATGAGGAAGAGCTCTTCAGATAATGCATTAAAGAAAAAGAATGGCTTGTCAAAGATAGATAATCTTGGTACCAATAAATCTAAATTACCAACAAAGAGTGTGAATTTTACCAATAATTCATTAAAATCGGATAAAACAAACAGCAAGAATAAACTTCAAGAAGAACACAACAGGTCTGTACAGAATCCAATATCAGAATCTGTCCTACGCAACACATACTTAGCAAACTATGATATCGGTAATGATACTGCTAAGTCTTATGCTACAGAAGGCACACCACTGAATTTTTCATCAGCCAATTCTTTAACTGATCTTACACATGTGGGACTTGCTGAAGATATCTCTCCTACAGAACCAGAACCCATTCAAAATCCCCATGATGAGTCCAAGTCAGATAACAGTTCTGTATGTGAAGAAAATGAAGACATGTTATTATCAGAAGTAATCCAGGCAGCTATGCCCAAAAGTAAAGCTGCGCGGAAACTGAATCTTGAAGGTGATCAGAATAAGACACCAGCTTTGAGAATCCCACCTAAAGTTATTAAAAAACCCAATGTTCCTAATGTCTTTAAACCTTTACGTACTTCAAGTCACATATCTAACCCATGTCCAATGGAGGTTGGTGATGTAATGAAGACATATGCTGAAGAAGGTACACCTATTAATTTCTCTACTGCTACATCATTAAGTGACCTGACAATGGAATCGGCAGATGGAGGTATAGCTGGCAACAGTTATATGAATGAAAGCTGGAAAAATTCCACTGGACCATCTAATGCCCAAACTGGAGACTCTGTATTTTATGCCAATGATCCTGATTGCCCTAAAGTTTATCATGTTGAAGATACACCAGAGACATTTTCCTGCAATGATTCTCTTAGCTCTTTGAGTGTAACAGATGATGATATTCTATCAAATGAAAAATTGATCTTGGAGTCAAAACCTAGATTCAGCCCTAAACAGAAAAACCAAAATCAACTACAACAGAATCATCATAGACAAGGACGGGAATCAAATATTGATCAGGCTAAGAAGTTTGAAGTTGAGAACACTCCAACTTGTTTCTCTATTAGTTCTTCACTCAGTTCATTGTCAACAACTGATCAAGTACCTCAAAATAACCACATACAGTCCTTAATCAGTGGTCATACACAGTATGGTGTTGAAGATACTCCAGCAACATTTTCCAGTAACAGTTCGCTCAGTAACTTGAGTATAGAATCAACCAACAATTATGATCCCACGCCTTCAGAACAAGCTCTGTTAGATGAATGTATCAGTTCAGCCATGCCTAAAAATAAAGGGAAAGAACAACCAAAGAGACATACACCAACCAAGTCAAAAATAGCTACAAGAACTTCTGTTAGTAAACCTACCAATGACCAAAAGGAAAATATAAAGGGAAGAAGTATGTCTTATAGTTGTTCCGATGCTTCTGACTCAAGTCCTAAATCGCAAGCTTATCGTAATTGGAGAAAGGAACCAGCTAGATCATGTGATGAAGCTTCACCACCCAGTCCTTCTAGTAATAGATTTGGTTGGAATAGATCCCAATCACAAGATGGAATCAGTTTTGGTAGAAGTCTAGCTACAGCTCAAAGTCCGGGAACCAATCACAGACGACCCTTTCTCAGCACTCCAGAAACAGTTAAGAAGAACCCTTTGTATGTTAAGGACAATAAACTGCTTGAGGAGGCCAGAGAGCAAACTGTCAAGGTCCGCAACCAAGGATCATCTTCTCTAAGTGATTCAGTGAGTAGTAATGAAAAAGTAGACAGTGAAAAATCAGTTAGTGAGGAAACGGTATTGGTTGAGAAGAGTGTTGGCAGTAAGAATGATACAACCAGTTTTGATGATTTGATGAAGACATCATTTCCCAAAGATTTAGCACCTGATACAGATGATGATATATTGGATGCTGAAGATTTAGAAGATGAATTCTCCACTCATGATAGTGAATCAGATAGGACTATTGCTAGTATTGCCACTGCTCGAAACAATTACGATTACAATGATGATAGCTGCTTAGGATCAAAGGAGTGTTCTTTTGAGGAAGAAATCACGCCAGAGGATGAAAGACTCCTTGAAGCTAATGCAAGTTTAGTTGTATCCGAATTGGCATCGAATCGTCAAATGACCGCCAGCTCTCAAGATGAAGATTTATTTATTGAAAACGAAACCTTGTCTTTAGTATCTAATGATTATACATCAGATACAGCATCAGAAATATCCACTTCATGGTCCTTAAATTCTGAAAAAATTAGTGATAATTCCAACAAAGATGAAAACAAAAATGGCATATTAAATGGTCCAAGAATATTAAAACCAGGAGATAAAAAACCAGTAGAAGTTCCAAAAGAAAATGAAAAAGCTATAAGAGGGAAGAGAAAGCCATTGTACACTCGTTCAGCTTCAACACCCCCTAAAGTTGGCAACCTTAAACCCACAGTAGCCAAGATATCACCTAATAAAAACCAACCAATTTCTAAAGTCAACAGTTCTCAAACAAGACGTCAACCTTTGAAACAAACTCCACCTGTGAATGGTACACGTGCAGCATCAAAACCAACTTATACTAGATCATCTTCATTGACTAGAACTTCATCAGCATCTAATGTACCTTCAAAATCTCCTGTTCGCCCGTCAAGTGGTAACATTGGTAAACCACCTATAGCTAAAGATTCCAACATTAAGAAGGCAGCGACTCAAGAACGACCAAAACCAATTGTAAAGCAAAATACATTTATTAAGGACTCTTCGTCTCATAAAAATACTCCAACAATATCAACTGAATCTGAAGAACCACCAGCAAATATTACTCGTCTTCGTGAAAAGAGAAACAGCACAGATGGTACCTTAAGTCACAGAAATTCTGTTGGTTCTATGAGTTCTAGACAGTCTGCTGAGTTTATTCCTTCTGTCGATCAAGATTCAGTGCATCCACCAAAGAAATCTGTTACTGCTTCAAATGCTTCACCTGGTACAAAGAAAACATCAAATATTGCTAGACCAATAACAACTAATACAAAGAGTCCTGTTGGATCAAAGAACTCCCTAAACAAATCTGGAAGTGGTACTAATCTGAGGAAGACTACAAGTGGTTCAAGTCTTACAAAAACTAATAGTGGCTCTTCTCTGAACAAAGGAGGTTCAAACACAAATCTCAAGAAAATGGCTAATGGTAGTAATAGTAAAAGTGACTTGAAGAAATCTGATAGTAATGCAAGTATTAAAACCAATTCCAGACCAGGAACACCAAATGGTAGACGATTGTCAAGTGGCTCATCAACTACTCTTAACAAAAATCCATCAACTCCTAACAGTGACTCAAAGAAACCACCCATTGGATCAGTGGGAAAGAAGCAGGTGCCAAGTAAAATTGCTAGTTTATGGAAGAAGGATGAAACAGAAGGATCACCAACAAGAGAAAGCCCATCTCGTTTACCTACAGCTAGTAACAAACCAGCTAAACCTGTCACTCCAAAACGAACAAGTAGTCTTCAAAATGGCACTAAAGGTAAAACAATTGTTGCTAAATCACCAAGTCAAACCTTTGGTAATGATTTCAATGAAGCATCAGAAGGTATCAGTAAGAGTTCAACCTATGATAAAATAACTACTGTCAACTCCCAAGCTGAACAAACCAGTAGTCCAGATGAAAACTGTGACGTAGGTAATACAACAGTGAACAGTGTATTTAATTTAACTGACAATTCTAGTGTACACAATTCAAATGATTCATTAGATGAATGTCCACTAGTAAATACTGGTACTTATAAACGTAAGAAAGGCAGCTCCAATCATAGTTTACAATTACCTAATGCTGATGAAACATGTCGCCCAGAATCTGTCAGTAGTATTAGTGACTCTTTAAAAGATGACAATAGTTTAAGTGGTACATTACGTAGTGATAAACTTAGTGTGTCTAGTGATTTAGACATTATAGATAAATCAAGTGACAAATCAAAATCTAGTAAATCAAAGGATAAAACGAAAAAAGAGTCTAAATCAGTGGCCCAAAGTATTAAATCAACCCTTTTTGGCAAAAAACCAGGTTTTGGTAAAATCTTTAGTTCTCAAAAGAGTAAGAATCCTAAGAAAGAATCTGAAAAGACATTATCTGCTAAACCTTTACATCAAGAATCTCGCACGAGTCCATCAGCTATAGTCCCACCATTTAATTATAGTCCACCTGTTAATTCACCAAATACTCCCAAAATAACAGATATTCAAAATACTACTGATACTAATAATGAAAATAATCCAAATAAAAAATCATCCTTGCCTACACCAACTAAACATGCTACTAAAACTGAGATGTTATTGGCTCGTAGAAGATCTTATTTAAATAGTAAAAATGATGTGAATTCAGATGATGATGGTAAAATGCCATGTATGGTTACTACAGTCTAATCTATTGTATTCTATTGTTAATGTTGTATGCATGTAGAATTTTCAATACAATCAAATATTGTGTATTTATTGATTTTGATTTGATGTTCAAGTCTATTTGTCAAATGTTTTATTGCTGATGCTACAAATTGAAATACTTTATACTTTACTTCAGCAAATATTCCACATATGAATACAGAACAAAAATGGATTGCTTATTGAATTGAATAACATATAAATACACAATATTTATTTGTAATGTGTCTAATGTTCAATTTCTTATGTATAAAATTATGTAACATCAATGCAACTTTTTGACATTTTAGGTCTGTTTAGTAATACTTATAATTTTCATTAGAATTTATATTAGTATAGAATTTCCATTTTCATTATCTTTCATTTTTTTTTTCAATTTCATATTCAGACTTCATATTTAGCTATTTAGTCGAACTTTTCATAATTATAACTATTAAAACTTTCATTGTAATGGTTATTTTAAGTGATCTGAAATACTAAATTATTGTCAAAAGACTGCTGAATCTTCATAAAAATCTGGTATATTTGCATTATTTATGCAGCTTGATATGTTATGAGTCATCTGTTGATGTCCTTTTTCAGGTTTACTGAAAGGGATGAAAGGAAGTTTGGCTTTCAACTACTTCTTTAACAGTCTTCAAAAACTCATCTTATATTTAGTATCTAAATATTAAGACAAATTATTTATATTAAATATGAAACTGATTAAATTAGATCAGATTGAGGGAGATGATGAAGACTTTTTTCGTGATTTCGTAATGTTTACTGCAGGAGTAGTGTAGCCAAAGTATCTAAAAGACCAGATTTTTTAAAGGTTTTCAAGTCTTAAGTGCAGATATATTCTTATTCTGTTACTCCTTTTGAATTTTTAAAATATTCCTTTTAACAAATGATAATTGAAACATTTTGGAGCAAAGTAATTTGAGTTTTTTTGACCATCTCAATTGTGTGTTTGAATTTGTACTTCTTTTCTTTACTTTCATTCTTTCTTCATAAACTTTATTTGAGTGCAATATTTATTATATAAGTTTATAATTAACTCATTCTTTTCATATTACATTGAATATAACTATCATACATCATCATTATGTAAATAATTTAACATATCATCGCTGGACTAATGGTGCATACTTTTCTTTTCTTCATGTCACTTTGTTGACCTTTTTTTCAAAAATCTTTTTGCTAGCCTTATTATAGTTGACCTCAGTCATTGTTGCGGTTTGTTGTGTTATAAAACATTAGATCAAGGATGATCTTGATACAGGCCTTCAGCAAAGTAGTAACGCATGTTTAACTTTTCTCACCATCCAAATATTTCATTGTAATGTTTCACAGTATAATCAATGTAACATTTGGGCTTCATTTTTTATATTTAAATGGCATATAAATAGATGATTGTTGTATTATTTCACAATTGTATTAGAATCCAATAGATTTTGTAAAAGTTTTGTAAGAGAGTACCAGGTATACTCAAGTATTTTGCTTGCTTGTTTTGTGCAAAGCCAGGCTTTGTTTAATTGCTTTGAAAGACATGTACATTTTCTATGTTGCTGTGCTTGAATGTTTAATTATGGTTGTAATTTTGGACAGTCAGAAAGATTTGTTGACTGATATTGTGATGTATAAGACTCTCTTCTGATTTAATGGTATTGATTACACTATCAAAGAGATTAAATTATTTATTGAAACATGAATCAACAAACTTTTTTTTATATTTTTACCTAACAAATCCCATCAAAAGAAAAAAGATAAATTTCGCAAAAGATCTGGAAATGGAACTCCTGCCAGCAGAACGTAGACTTTAATACATAACTCTCTAATCATCATCTTCCCTAAAAAACATAACGCATTTAAATAATTAAAGCTCGTCTGCACTGGTCATTAATGACATGGTACGTGCCACTAACTTCAACTAAGTTGAAGGCACAGATTCGCCATTTTCGGGTGTCGATTTGAGTTTTGAATATTAGCAAATAGTCTTCAGAAGTACTAGAAATGTACGGAAATCGCATAATCCCTTCAAAAATACCTCAAATTCTGGACACACATGGATTTGAAGACTCAAATTGGTCAAACGGATGGGAAATCAGCCCATCTAAGAGAATCTTGATCAGACTTGGTTTTTGAACAATAATATCTATGTTATTTGCCCATGCATCATACTCATACAATTCAATGGAATGGATCTTAAACATCCCTTAACAAATGGATCGATGATGCCTCAATTCAGCCCATGGAATCAGACCCAGAAGCAGACATATTATACTTCTACTTAAACTGAAACATACTTGACAACACATGATTTTCTTCTTGATTTCATTCTCATCGTTTTCAACATTCTATCATGTTCAGTTAGCCCTTCCACTGGCATTTCGGTGGATGTCTTTCTTTTATCAACCTGTAAGCAAGAAAAAAATAGTACGGCCATTTTTATTTAAAATCTTCTATGGTAGGCCTGCTGTTAAATTCTTCGATCCTGTACTTTGTTGGAAAATCCTTGATGATCGCTCTGGTGTAATAACCAGTAAATTATAGCGGGTGTGTCAAAAAAAAAAAAACATGTTAACCCTTGTCATTGTCTACAGTTAGGTAACCTATTCATCATCGACATGGACATATTTTGATCCTACGGCCTGGACCTAATCTACATGTAAATAAATCATTTGTCTAACCTACCCATTTTCCGTTGAATTTATGCAGAATCATTTCACGTTGAACTTTAGCTAATGCTAACTTAACTGCATCATAGAATGGGTCTGATTTGAACGCCTTTTCCTCACATTCAGTTATCTGTCTCTGCCGTTCCTTTGCGAAGGCAAAGGTGACCCATTTCATCGCATGTCTGAAAAAATTAATCGAAGCAAGTGAGTTGACATTATCCTGAACTGACTTTGGCTCGAGTTATAACTAAAGGGTAGTGGAGTCGACCTGTTTTAAGAAATTTTAAAGATTCCTTACTTGCGCACCAGTTGTTCTTGCATGATAACTTTTCTTTCTTCGGTTATTCTTCTTGATTCTGCCTCTATCTCTTCTTCTCGTGCCTGAAATAAGCGTCCACGTATGAAAATTTGTCTACATGTATATTTTTATGTACTTCATTTGCGCGTGTCAATATTTCTGGTGAAGCTGATACAAGTCCAGTTTTCAAACAACACCCCGACAAGCTATCTTGATGAATGGCTTACTCACCCTAACTTTCTTGAAAGCATTGCGAAGATTGGACATAACAATATTGTAGTGATGCATATATCTTTGATAAGTTCGCTCTTTCATTAGAGGTTTTAAGTCTGCAACTCTACGGTTTTGTTCTACTAGAGACTGAAAAGAAACAACTTATAAACTGTTAAAAGCTTTAATCATACCCGTCAATTCGAGCAAATATTGAACTTATAAACAGGCGAGAGCCTGCCACGAAGAAACTTGCTTCGCTAGACATGGGCTGGTAAAAATTGAAACAGAAATGGAATCAAATCTAAGTTTGAAATATTATACTGATCGGTCACTTGGTTACTTAGTTTGATTGAAATTAGTCGGAAAGAACAATATTATTTTGGTAATTCCCAATCGACTTTGACAAATCTTGAATAAGATCTGGGGCTTGGTTTGAAGTTTGCGCTATGTCAGTGAATGTGTTGTTCACAAACAATAGGTTTAAGAGTGACGGCAATGTACATTTGAAAAAATTCTGTTTCGAATACAATTACAATGGTGAGAATGTCTCGATTTTATGCGTGCGAACAAAATAACCTACCTCTCTCCTAGTTTTCCGTTTGTTAAACATTTGTTTAATTGAATTAAGCGATTCGTCCATAACTTCAAACATAGCTGTATTATATTCCTGTGTAACATTACTTTTCTCATCCTGAAAAAATGATATAAGGAATTATTCTGGAATGCAATTAATTTTGTGACAGATGTTCTCACTGTACAAAAGTATCAATATCATATGCACTGTCTTGATAGTATTAAGCTTAGCAGAAAAGTGAAATATGTCTTGATTGCGAAGACAAAGACTATGGAGATTGCCCTTTACAAACCTCATATCTGGCAAATGCTTCGACAAGGTCAGTTTGGACTATAATTTTCTTCCGGTTGCTTTCAGCCATAGCTATTAGCAGGTCTTCTTGACTCAAAGTCCTCTAATAAAATATAAAAACCCTAACTATACTTGAATACAAAATAACATAAGATACAATTACAATAATGAAATATTTTCACTGTTAAGATATTGCTGAATACATCAATTGCAGGCGATATAGAAATTATTCTGAATTGTAAAGCAAAATATCCTCGATTAATGTTTAAAACCAGTTACTAATTTGATTTTAAGTAGATTATAATTAAAAAAATATATCCACTATGACGGTATATGACATTAACAGACCATGTAACATGACGTTTATTAAGAGTAGGTATAACCTTCCACATGGTGTCTAAAAAACACTACAACAATTTTCGCTTGGGGAATTGAACTCACAGTAGCTTTATTGTTCATCTGAGTAACCAACTTCAACTGCCTAAACTTCTCTTCTTCTGTTTGGTTATCAATGTCTTTACTGTTGGCTTGACGCACCAACTGACACTGGACATCACTTAACTGAGATTGAACATCAAATGTCTCTTCAGCTTCTTCAGCTGCCTGTCTCCACTGTAAAATAGGAGAAATACAGATTATCATTTGTTTAAATCAAAAAAAGTAAGCCAAATTATCTAGTACATTGACGTTCACAGAGTACCAAGCCATACCACGATAGCTATTCATTTGGTTAAGAATGTTTTTCACGCGATTTCAATGGTTATCTCACACGCTCATCCTTTAATGGATTGTAAAGTAAAGTCGTCAAAGATATGTCCTATCTCTATTGCAACATCTGATTGGATATTGTATTCTTACCTTGCTGAGAGACATATTCGCAAAAAATTCAGCGTGAAGGTCAAGAAGGACTTTTCTTGCTTGTTCGCTGGTGTTTTCTTCTTCCTTTACTCTTCTTAGTTGTTCTTTATCCTCTTCCCTAATTATGAAATATTTGGAATAGAATGGAACGACTGAGATTCCCACCAAGAACCCTAACCCAGATGGCAAGATGAGTAGAGACGTCTAGTATAAGAAGGAAAGAAGGAGTGATGCTATGTAGTTTCATTTTTTCTCATTTTCGCGCCATTGATCATTTTATAATTTATTTACTGCTGTGATACAAATATACAAATTTTCCATCATATACAGACAGAATGAGTTCAGACTTTACTTACGCAATAACGGCATTTATAGTCAATCTCTTTGTTGCTCTCTCCAAACTATTATCACAGTCAACATTCCAATGGCGCCCATCATATGCTTTTATTCTTTTCACTATTACAACCTGTTTCTTATTTCTTAACTTGAAAAACAAATAAAATTAAATAGTTAACTTGATTTAGGTAAAAAAATTAGTGTCCGTGTCTGAATGAAATGAAAGTGCTGCGTTACATTTTTCCGGCTGATCTAATGAAGACGAGAAATACCATGCAGGGTCCAACGGAGGAAACTATAACTAGGACAAGTTTACTCATCTTTCGATTTCCAACTGTCGAGGGGTCATAACACACATGGTCTCGGTTTATCCTAATGATGACTTGACGCTTTTTCCATGCTTCTTTGATCTGCCACCCCAGGCCTGCATCACTAGCACTGTCTGGCAAGGGAAACACGGATTGGAAAAGTATCGAAGTGAATCCCATACTTTGAGATTAGTGAGCAAGCATTCGACTCCAGAAAGTTCCGTCACTTTATTCTATATTATTTACTGTATAATTAATCAATCCAGACTTGGTATACCAGGAAGGCCTAGGCTAATCTATAATAACTTACCAAATGATGTCCTGGGGCTCTTTTAATTCCACTCCGAGATTCTTGAGCATGCTTAGCTTGTTTGATCGCAGACAAAAGGTCGTTGTTGAAATATTTCTTTATCTGTATTTCATCTTCCGAGTCTGTATCACTGTCAGACATTACAAAGACCTGTTAGACCTGAAGAAGCAACGTTTTAATGGTCGGCTTGGTTTACAGGCTTAGCTGGTCCTTAGTATCAAATTGTGACGTCATAGTCAATTCTCATCACTATAGATGAAAATATTTATAGACCCATTATCATATTCACAATGTCTAGCTTTTTCGATCTTCGTCTTAACCCTTGACTGTAATAACCACCTTTCTTGTGTCACCAAAGTTTGTAAATCCAGCGCTTTGGTTGGATTGTAAAACAGCCAATTAGAGGCTCTGACAAAAAGTCTGTAAAAAAAAACTAAGCCATAATGTTTACAGTATTTTTGTCCAGGACTCTGATTGACTCCTATTCAATAACGTAAAATCCAAATTCAAATGGCTGCTTTCCGTGAAAACAAAGATGTTTATTGCAGTCTAAAAGAAATGAGGACGTAGGGCCTATAATGTAGGGTCCTATACCTTGTTAGGCATAAATCAGGAATATTTTGATGGTATTTTATTGCCATTTATGTAGGCCTATCTTAAGTTAATGTTTTCCTCATAAGCTATACTTTAAATAGGTCTATCTTTATCGTTCCGTGAGAGAGCTATATTTCCCAATCCCCTACTCTAGGTTAGCTGCTAGTTGGGTTTCCGACAAGATAGATACAAAGAAAAATCAAATTGTTTTAATTCAACATAAATTATCAATATGGTTGAACTCTATTAAGCAGTTTATACCAATCGATATACTAGATCTAGTGATGACAATTTATTGTATGCTATGAAAGAGAATGCATGCCGATTACCGAAACCTCGATGAGCAAAACCTCGAACTAACATATTTTATTTCATCCATACAATTAAATTTACTGAACCATATCTGCTGTCTTACAACCTTGATACAGTTGAGAGAACCTCATTTAGTGTAAATAGTTTGTAAATTTTCCCTAATTTGTATTGTATCGTATTGTAATTATTTTTGAATGGTAATGGATTTATAATTTTTGGGTTTCCAAAACCATATGTTTATATATATGTATGTAATATTTGTAATCCTTGAATAAATATTGTTTAAAAAAAAAAAGAGAATGCAGTTTGGTCGACGCTTAACCTTTAAGCGAAATTCTACCCCTAATGATATCGTAAACACTATATTTTCGGACTTCTAATCTATATCCGACTATTTCGGACGCCGATTTTATTTCGTGTTGTGATAATTTGTCTAACTTCCGGTTATAATTTTACACGAAACCACAGTTTAGGAGACAACATGGCAGCCCAAACAGCTGTTCCTCAAACTGCACGTCCGTGGAATCCCGAATTCACTCACTCAGACCGAGAAAGGTAACTATTATTATATCGAAAATATAGAAGATTGTTCGAATTATAAATATTGATAACTTTAGTTTCTAAGAGACGAGTTTTAGATGAAGATTGGACCCAATATTTATTTGATGGTTTGAATATCTGCAGTACAAACACTGAAACATCACTATTACGTTTGCAAATTTAGGCCCAGGGACCAGGGTTATAAATCGGACAGACTGCGTCAAAATTGTATGGTTATTGCTGGGCCCAATTCACATCATTTAATTTATATTTATATTTTTTAAAGGTGGATTTGCATTTATCCTACATACATAAACAGTAAAAGAACATTACAAGATGGTCGTAGAATCCCAACCAGCAAGGTAAAGTATCTACACTGCAAGAATATAGACCTAAAGGCATTTAAGAATCCCAATTAGATTTATGATGAAGTTATTTTGATAAACATGGATTATATTTATCAATAGGAAAAGTATGAATGGGTGGGTGCTTTATTTCAGAGAAAGATAGTGGACCACAGCCATATACGCCCACCGCGGCATTCAAACTTGATTTTCGTTTTATGAACATGTATACACATACCGAATTTCATTTGATTCCATCAAAAAATCTATTTAGAGCATTTACAAGCAAATGTTGACGGAAGGACACGGTGCCGACAATATATCCGTCCACAATGTGCATACTTATTCAACTATCTTTTTTTATTGTTGATGGATTTGATAAGTTGAATTTTTACTTTTAGGCGGTGGACAATCCAACATATGCTGAAATTAAAGATGTCATAGCAGCTGCTGGACTGACTATGGGAGTTGAGGTTAGTATGATACTTTATTTGAATACAACTCAGAGTAAAACAAACTCCGACAACACACTTGGACCTCTTTTTATAACAAACTTGGCTCACTTTTTTTTTTACTTGACCAATGACTGGGCGGACTTTTTTTTGACTGGGACCAAAAATAATTATTTTTTACGACAAACTCTGACCACTTTTCACACACATTTGGCCCACTTTTTCTGAGACTTAGCCCAAGGAATTTGTAAACAAATTGAAAGTAGAATGCTGAAGACAACTCAGATTCAGACTAGATGTTGGATGGTCTTGAAAAGGAGCGTTTATTTATATGGGCCTGAAAAGGGTCGTTAAGATGGTCCGCTTATAGATTGCACCACACTTCTTCAGCAGTTGGTTGGTGCTCATAGAATCCTCACTGTAAGCTGACAATAACTGGAAAAACTTCCCTTGGATGGTGTGGGTTCTTTTAGATACATACTTTAATTACTTAATCTACAATCTCTTTGTATACTCTTGATCTTTTAAATTCAAATCATCTAATCCCTTATCTAATCCTATTGAGCAATTCACATCAAAGTGAAAATTAATGCGTAATAATTGAGTACCAGGTAGTATCAATAATTGAACAAAGATAGCTTGCCAGGCAAGGTAATATACACCCACTGACAGCTTTGATTATGAATAAAAATATTTAGCAGTACAGTAAGAATCACTAGTATGAAATATTCAACCTTCAGTCATACACTTCTTTTGAATTCTTTAGGGCGATATGAATAATATATTGAGTATGAGTTATTGCCCTTGTTCTTGAAGACATGTTCAATTTTTAGCTTGTGAAAACTCTAGAAGGCAAATATTCAATCTTCAGCATGGTACTGAATAATAAAACCAAGTTTTGTCAAAATCCGGCAAGAATCGTGCCTTTTAGTGTTTAAGAGCTAAAATTTGAAAGCGTTTTCAAGAACGAGGTCAATAACTCCTATGAAACATATTCAGATTTTTTGATTTTCGATAGGGTTCATCCATGGGTGATAATAAACGATTTCACCAAGTTTTGTCAAAATCTGTCAAGAATTGAGCCTTCTAGGATGTTTACAAGCTAAAAATTGAACGTGTTTTCAAGAACAAGGGCAATAATTCATACTAAATATTTTTCGATTTCGCTGATTTTCAATAGGGTTTATCCTTGGGTAATTACAAACACTCATACAAAGTTTCGTTAAAATACATCAAGAATTGTACCCTGTAGAGTGATTACGAGCTAAAAATTGAACGTGTTTTCAAGAACAAGGGCAATAATTCATACTAAATATTTTTTGATTTCGCTGATTTTCAATAGGGTTTATCCTTGGGTGATTACAAACACTCATACAAAGTTTCGTTAAAATCCATCAAGAATTGTACCCTGTAGAGTGATTACGAGCTAAAAATTGAACGTGTTTTCAAGAACAAGGGCAATAATTCATACTAAATATTTTTCGATTTCGCTGATTTTCAATAGGGTTTATCCTTGGGTGATTACTAACACTCATACCAAGTTTCGTCAAAATCTGTCAAGAATCGTGCCTTCTAGAGTGTTTACGAGCTAAAAATTAACAAGGGCAATAATTCATGCTAATATTTTTCGATTTCGCTGATTTTCAATAGGGTTTATCCTTGGGTGATTGCGAACACACATACTAAGTTTCGTCAAAATCCGTCAAGAATTGTGCCCTGTAGAGTGTTTACGAGCAATTGTGGACGGACGGACATGGGTGACGACAATATACACCCCCCATTTCATGTGGGCGTATAAAAAAGTGGTCCGAGTGTGTCTTGATTAATGAATTATTTTTGGGGCAGTCTCAGGAAATGTGGGCTGAGAGTCTTCTGAAAAGTGGGCTGTGTTTGTTTTGGTCCAAGTTGTCCTTAAACTATTATACTGAAACAGCAGTATATGGTGAATTTAATCAAATGTTATAATATTTAGCTACTGTGTTCTCAGATTCGTTGATAAAACAAATTATACAGTACAATCATGATATGGCTTTGACTTCATAAAAATATAAATATTTGATTACATAGAATAGAGACACACTTCCCTCTCAGAAATTTCAACCAAAAATGTTCCTAGTAATTTGTGCTCATGTTTATAATTCAACCTATGAGATATTAGCCAATATTTGAATAATTATAATTGCTATACAATTGATGTATTGAGCACTATTTTAACAATGAGAAGTTTTTGTTATTGATTTATTAATATTGTATATTAGTTACAGAAAAAACTTTTAATACATTTGTTTAAATTATAGAATAAAGTTTACCCCAGAGAATTAGATCATCGAGACCCTAAATGTAGAGGTAGAATTAGAGTTCAACTAAAGAATGATGATGGTTCTATAATGAATGAGAAGTTTCCAGATCGTAAGTATAAATATTCATGTCTGGGAGAACAATCATATACTGAATTAATTTTCCTCCCAAATGAAAAATTCACGAGTCAGTTCCATTTTTTAGATACAAAAATGTTCATCTTTATCAGTAAAAAACTAGGAAGTATCCCATAGAGTGTTGTAATGGCCTTTTTTACACCTCATTACTTCGTCAGGGTTTATGTAGTTTACAAACTGTACATTTCATGATAAGGATAATGGCATGATTCATTTATTTTGCAGGTAAATCAATTTTGTTATATTTAGCTGAAACCATTCCTAAATTAAAATCAAGACAATCATCCTCCCAAGCCTCATCCCAGAGTCAACCATCTAAAAATCAAAAACGTAAAGGAAAGAAGGGCCGGTGAATGGGACAATTATGAAAATTGAAAATAGCATTGTATATGTAAAGAAATGGTATGATAAACTGTGTTTCAAATTATATATTTAAGGATTACTGTAAAGTCTAGAGATTATACCATTCTAGCTCATTGGAAGCATGCAAAATTTATCTTGACAGTTAATTGCATCAACCTATTTTGAGCTCTTTATTTCTCTCCTCAGTAAAGCTTTATCATTAATTTCATCACAAATATTATTCAGATCAGTTTTTACAGTGGGCTTATCTTTCATTTCTTTATTGACTTGCTTTATGAGCCCAGATTTGACAGCATGTTTGTCTGTTTGATTTATGTCAAGAAGATGTATCTGGGCTGTGGTCCAGTTTTCAATAGGTATGACCTGTAACACAGTATCTGAATTGTTCTTCTCTGATGTTTAACATGTTTTCATTATAAGAACATTAGATAGGATGGCCCTCTTGTTATAATTGTAAATAACACACAAGACAGATTTGATTGACAACATGACATGATTTTATTGTTTACATAGTGTAATGATTTATATACAGTGATAAATAAATTGTCTCTACCAGCAGAGATACATTTAATTCTGTTTAAATTATCTGAAATATAAATGTAATGTTTTATGGATAATGGTACTTGTACATAATAAATATTTCTTCAAATTGCAGTATGTTATTTCTATTTAGTTTATTTAGGGAAATTCATGTGCTGTTTGTACATAGTTAGCACAGGTTCACAATTCTTTGAAACCTAATTTGCAATGAAGATGGATGATTTCTTACTGAAATGGATCTTTATTTTTTTCAGCTGAAAAGCAAATTCCATGTCATATTTACTGAAGAGATTCTTTGCAAATGGTGAAAAGAAACAAACCTATAAAAAATATTTAGGAAGCTTCTTGTACTTCCATGCCTTCTTCATCACCATCTTCATCATCCTTATCTTTATCTTCACTCTTCTCATATGCTTTATCTGATGGTGTAACCACCACACCTTCCCAGACGCTCATTTCAGTTGCTATACCTTTAATATATCATATTATATTAAACATTGTCTTATATTTCCTTCATCGCATCAATTTTTTATATCTTCAGTCTATTCATTGATAACAACAATTATAACATGCTATTCATAATACTAAGAGAAATATATATTAAAAATGTTTGTCAATATCAATAATAAAGAGTCCACTTACTTGAATTTCCCTCCATTCCTAATATTTGTTTATAACCACCATGTGATAAAACTCTTAATAATGTTTGGGCTGTATAACATACTTGATCCTATAATTAAACAAATATTACATAACATGAGTAATTACATAAATATATATTGAAAATCTCATATATAAAGTCTTCTAAACATTTGCTGTGCCGACTTGGTAATATTTAGTCTATTCATTGCACTTTCTAGAATGGAAATCTTGTCTGTTCTACAAATCACTCCAATTTAACCGTCATCACTTGCAGGTCACTATCAACATGCTCATGTGCAGTAATCTATTCTGATATCAAAAATCATAAATAGATGTATAGATGTTTATAAATCAAATGTACTTGCTTGTTGTTCTAAAGTCATAACTGTATGTATTCTAACTGTGCCCTGTTCACATGGATCTGTTATACCAACTGAACCAGGGAGAAAGAAGCCAGCACTTAATAATTGTAGACATCTTTTAAAAGCTATATTAATAGGTTGTGGTTGACGTGAAGGATTGTTAATAACTGCATAATGAGCCTGTAACAACAAATGCAATTTTAATAAGAAACATAGTAGGTCTTATTGTTAGTGGACAAGCTTTTATGATGGTCAAAGGTACTGACTTCTTTATCATATTTATTTTTGCAATTCATTGCTTTACTTTCAAAAAAGTTAAAAATGTCATAGAAGAATTTTTCTGATATAGAGAGGTTGTGAATTAGACTCTATTTAATCAGTTTATCTTGTAGAATTAATGTCCCAGTGGCATGCAGAAAAAATAATCCTACCAATAAATCTATGATCCATGGAGTTAATGGTTGTAAACCTTCAAATCTATTTCTCAAATCTCTTAATAATCTTATCAAAACTTTTATACTGAAAATAAATAATAAATGTTATAGATTACATAATTACAATTATCACACAAAACAAATGAAAATTAACGGATAATTTTAAGAATAAAATTAAACTTCAGGGCTTAAAAAGGGCTAAAATTAAAGCTAAATCCAGGCAGTTTCAGGTATTTAGATGCATTACTTTTGAACATTTGAAGGTTGAGAGTGGGGGATCTTCAACCAAATTTTCAATATATATCTAAAATAAACAGATAGATGACTGGGTGTGTACATTGACATACCTTGAATGTCCAGCATTTTCTTCAAACCATCTAGCATGTCTGATACCAGCTAAATGACCCTGCATGACTTTACCATCCACTGTAAAATCAATATATTACATTGAAATTACACTATACATGTACTCATTAGAAGGGAAAAACAAGTCTCAATAAAGAAGAAATGAAATAGCATGCTGTCAAATGAATGAAATAGGGACATTTAAGCCTTTTCTTCTGACTATCAAAAAATAGGAATTAACGGGGCAGTATGCAAAATTTTTATTATCAAAAATGTCGTAAATATACCTGAAAATATTTTTTAAACATGCTATTTACATGTATGTATCTACTTGATCAAACAAAATATGTTTTGAATCAGTTTATTAAAATTTTGAATACTGTCCTTTGAACGTGTGGGAATTTGGACATAAAGGGGGTAAACATTACATGTGTCTTCACTTACAATGCAATTCTGGGTCTAATTTTTTCAAATTTGGTGGAATTGTAGAAATCAAACATTTGACACTAGCATCAGCTGAACTTATCTCGAAACCACTCTCTGTTGTTAACATACTTAAAACTGTCAACAGAAAACACAAATATAGTTGTAACAGCCATAATACACCAATAAGTCATAAATTATACATAATATTTGTGTACATCCAGAAACATGCTGTGAAAATTATCTTTAAAGGAAATTGAAATAAGTAATAGACAACTTTAGAAATGAGTAACCATTCTTGCAAGACTTTAATTTCCATAGCACATTATGTAATATATTAAGTTTAATACCTTCTGTAGATTCTTGTGACTTCAATTCTTCTAAGACTTTGTTACCTAATGCTGCAACTGCCTCTTCTAAAAACAACAACAACAAAAAATCAGGAAAAAATTCAAATTTAAAGGGTCAGATTGAGTATCTGTTGGACCAATATAGTACCTTAGTCTCAGAAAGGGAATTTTTCTAGCTTATAATGGCAATTCTGTCCCTTTTATATTTCTGAGAAAAAGGTTCAAGGTAAACAAATCGATTGTAGATGGTGTGCACTATGGGGTATTGACAACCAAGCCATTAGTGTATAAATGCTGTAATACATTTTCAAGAAATTTTCTTGTAGTGGTGAAATGAAATTAGCAGTGGTATACTTACTAGTAGGAAGTGTTTTTAACATTACAATAATATCTGCTACATTAGAACCTGTCATCATTGTTCCTTTCTTAAATGATCCAACTTGTCTTACTTCTTCTATTTGCTAAAAATATACAAACAATGGCATTTTGAATGCCATGTGAAAAACCCAAGGTAAAACTTGGTATTTCCCTAATGAAGACTTGATAGTGCTTTACTGTGGCACAAATAATAGTGTCATGGCTATATAGCTATATGTTAATTAATTAATAATTTATCAGTATTTCGATTTTAACGACATTCAAAACAGATTGTGTTACATAATTTGTGTAACGTACATGTTTGTCACTTTGAACAGTTACAAACTGTTTTTTTTTCTTGAATCACAAGAACCAAAGAAAACAGAACAGGCCAAGTATTCTCAAAACGATTATAGCTCTAAGATGTCTTAGGATCGATGTCAGAAGATAAAAATCTAGGTCATCCTAGCGCTAAGATTCTTTCGAGAATATGTGGCCAGATTAAGAAGCTATTAACTTAAATCCCATTCTTGTGTCACGATGGTTTTAAAGTTTTGTTATTATATTGATTACAACAACATTTGAAGTCTAATAGCATTTTTTTTTCAATCAGTCATCTACATATTCAATCTTAACACGTAATGTCGTCAAAGTCAAATAACTGCAAAAAATGTTTGTGTAAAATTGAATTAAGGATTCAAAAGATCCAGGTTATGACATCACAATCTATGTTTTATATCACACTGAATTATTATCTCTTCTTGTTAGTTAGAACATCATAGCAATGTTGTGCATACCATATACCCAGTTTATTCAAAACCTGAAAATCTCATGTCTCACATTTACATTCAATAAAGCAAAGGCATTTAGGCTTTTACAATATACATTCACACATATCATCATGTTTAAACTGAGAGAAATTTCATCTATTCTAACAAAATGGTTGATGAAATAAAAGAATATGCATTCAAAAATCCAACTGGGTCAACTTCTATTTTAAGTCAGTGGAAAACGAAAAGACACTTCTACAAAATGCATAATGTTTTGAATATCATTGGAAAGAAGATTTGCAATGTATCCAATCTTTAATTATCAACATTTACTGGAAACTTTTTGGATGTATATCTCAGGCACAAAATAAAACTAACCAAGCAAACCATAACCAATAAATGTGAAATAATAAGACATTTATAATGCTCAATATGAAATGTAAACCACAGCCAAAGGAAGTAGAGTTGTATAAAAGTTAACAATAGATCTAATAGTAATATTAGAGATTCTATTCATTCACTACGATATTTGTTATTCTAGATTATCTATAGAAAGAAGTAGAAATCTAATTGTTAGGAATCAAATGCATACTAGTATTATCAATTAAATATTTTAGAACTTACTTTGTTAATTGCAATTAATCAAATTTTATTTCTTTATATTCTACACTCAATCAAATGTGTATTTTAACATATTTCTTGAAAAATCTTAAAGCTATAATCAGGTTTTGAAATCATTCAACCAAATGTAAGGGATCATCTTTCCTTCAATAAATCAATAACTGCATTGCTGTGCACCACTGTCATTCACTGAGACTGGACTAGGTATACCTTTATTACTTTCATAGATATACTGATATATCAAAATACATTTTGTAGACTAAGTGTAGAATATATAGAAAGGGTTTAAGATAAGATGAGGTTGTGATGGAAGTTGGTGATTAGAATGATCATTAACTTACTGGTAAACTGTTATTCTGTAAATAAATTATTGGGCAATGCTTTAAAATGTTTCATGATAAAGGTACAAAGTTTTCAGGAAGGTTTCATGTGTTTAGTTTAATTGATAATATTGAAAGATAGCATACTAGTTTTCAGTACAGGTATTCAAAAAGATGAACAATGTATTTGTTTTGTGAGTAAAAAACCATTATGGTAGCAAAATGAAAGTCTTAAGCCATGCAATGGATATGAACCAATACTCAAAATGAATGAAAATAGAATGAACTTATTTTTGAAAATTATTTAACTAAACAAAATTAACTTACAGCTGAATCAAAAGCCCCAGGTGCTATAACCAAATTATCTAAAACACTTTGTATCTTGGTAACTAAAGCTAATATTGAAGCTTGTTCAGCTGCATTAGGAGTTAAATCTGCATTTCTTTTCAAAAGTGCCTGAAAGTATGATACAATAGGACATTACTTTTAAAAAGGTAAAAGTAAGAGTTTCCATGGTAAAAAAAAGCTGTTGACTTCGTATCTGTCTACAGTTTAGACTAAAAGAACTGTAGTCATCAGAAAGTCTTTTTATTGTAGGAAATTACTGTGACAGCTATCAATAACTTTAAATAACTGTGTATCTAATAATTTCCAAATTCTGAGACGGTAAAACACTTTTTATTTTTTATTTCTAGTTGAACATGAGTATTTACATTCAATTTTTATAATTTTATACAAAGACTAGATCTAACATTACTTTAGCTACAAATATATTTTATACTAATCCACATATCGTGGGTGACCGCTTGAAACCTCGTATATGCCATATTTGGTCATTTTGACTTTTTGGTACTGTTCGAAAGCTCGTAAAAGCTCGGATCTTGTGATCAATCCTCGTATTCTGAGCTTGATTGTAAATAACTCAAAAAGCGCTAATTAAATAACACGTATATAAACAGTCAGATTTAAAACCTTGTAAAATATATTATCATACGAGGTTCAATGTTCCTTTTCTGCAGATGAACATTAAAAACCTCGTATACTGCATTATTATACAAGTTTTTGGTTCAATAGGCCGGAGATCTCGAATTGTTATATGAGGTTCATATTTTCCAAGAATGCAGTAAAAAATAATAAAAAAGATTTTAACAAAATACGCGTACAAATAGTTTTTTGCGTTTTTCTCCAAAAGTAATTCTGCGTCAGATAACTTGATACGAGGTTTCAAGCACTCACCCAGGATATACAATTGCTTATGAAATTAAATTATTTTACATACCTCAGTAAATGCTTTTTCATCTGATGGGGGTTTGGATTTTGGAAATGCTGATTCACACTAAAACATTAATCATTTTCAATTTCAAAATTTGCTTAAAGGAATACTACCTGTTAAATGAACGTAAGGTAAGGAATTATCTGGTAAACTGTAGAAATACTTATCGAAAAAGGCTTATCAAATCTCAATTACTTTAATGGATTTATCTGATAAAAGAAAGATTTTGTGGTACAGTGATGACACCACTGATGTGATTATTGTTAATTGCCAATTTTTGAGTATGTAAAGTTTATGTTCATTCATAGAGGTTGTATTCCTTTAATAAAATAAGATAGTGGACCACAGCCATATACGCCCTTCACGGTATGCGGATGGTAAAAAACGAAACATCCATTTTAAGTTTCATCAAAATCGGTTGAAAACTAAGAGAGTAATAGCATATTCAAGATTTTGGGGCAAGGGCAATAACTCTGCTTCTAACAGCTGAAAATAGCTCAAATTCAAACTTGATCTTTGTTTTATGAATATGTATACACATACCGAATTTCATTTGATTCCATCAAAAAATCTAGTTTTTAGAGCGTTTACAAGCAATTGATGTTGATAAAAACACTTACTTTATAGAGGTAAAAAAAGGGCGATAACTCCTCAAAACTGACGTAAGAGGCCTAATTCTTGAAAAAGCCTTAAATTTAATCAGAAGTATATTAAACTTTCTCAAACCTTTCGATTTAGGTCCAATAACATTCATTTTAAGTTTCATCAAAATCGGTTGAAAACCAAGAGAGTAATAGCATATTCAAGATTTTGGGGCAAGAGCAATAACTCTGCTTCTAAGGGTCATAGATAGATGTGGGCGTATAAAAATGGCATTTAAGATGTCTAATAGTTGATACTAAGATAGCTTGCCAGGAAAGGTAACATAAGCCCACTACCAGCTGTCAGAAATGATAACAAAATCTGTAGCTGTTTAATATGTGAAACTTATCATTCGATTTTTAATAATTTCAAGCTTTACTGAGATCTCATACCAAGTTTCATCAAGATCATATAAAAAAATGTAGTCTCTATCAGGCCTACAAGCCAAATTAGATGCATTGAATTAATTCAAGGGCAATAACTCCAAAACCATTCACCCGATTGTTACCAATTTCAACTTGACTGAGATCTTGTCCATGTATACATGCATACCGAGTTTCATTTCATGACTACAAGTCATTTTTACTAAATTAAGGGCAATAACCCTGAAATCTTTCATCCAATTATTACTAACTTCAAACTTGACCGAAATCTCATCAATATATACATATATACTAAGTTTCATCAAATGGGATCAAAATTGTAGCCTTTATCGTGCATACAAGCCAAATTTAACGCATTTTAACCAAGTCAAGGGCAATAACTCTAAAACCTTTCATCCGATTATCACAAATTTCGAACTTGAATGAGATCTCATCAATATATACGTGCATACCAAGTTCCATCAAGATCAGATAAAAACTGTAGCCTTTATCGTGCATACAAGCCAAATTTAACTCGTTTTTACTAAGTCAAGGGAAATAACTCTGAAACCGTTCATCCAATTATTAGCAATTTCAAACTTGACCGAGATTTCATCAATATATACATGCATAATAAGTTTCATCAAGATCGTATAAAAATCGTAGCCTTTATCGTGCATACAAGCCAAATTTAACGTGTTTTTACTAAGTCAAGGGCAATAACTTTAAAACCGTTCCTCCGATTAATACCAAGTTCGAACTTGACCGGGTTCTCATCAATATACACATGCATACCAAGTTTCATCAAGATCAGATAAAAACCGTAGCCTCTATTGTGCATACAACAAATGTGGACAGATGGGGCGACGGCAATATACGTCCACATTTCCATGTGGGCGTATAAAAATGAAATGCCAATATTTGGCTGGTTAAGTGGCACTAGACTAGTACCGCTAAAGTCTTCCAAGACAAAACTGTTTTTTAGCAGCACAATAACAATTTAGTATGCTGTCATTTTGTAGCTGCAACAACCTTTTACAACGAACTTATTCCATGAGAAGTGAAATTTCAAATAAAATGCTTAAGGCAGTAGCCTTTAGGGGCTAAATCATCTCTTATCATCTTACCTGTAATAAATCAAATGGGATATGGGGAACAAATGCACGGAATCTGTAAAGACACAAATATTCATACATATAGCTTAGGTTTTTAGACCATCATGGACACATTGGATTAGTACAACACAAATAGTTTTAAATAGCAAAATCACAGATTTACAATACCTAGGCCTACTTACTTACAGCTAAAAATCTTATGTTTAAATAGCTCTTCAATAAATATAACTTACGGCTGTCCATGTGGTTTGTTAAATGGGCCTCTCATCATTCCACCTTTACCACGATTACCCCGGAAATTCCTGCTCAAAAAAAAAGCATGTCAAGGCCTCTTTAAAATGTATTGGAAGTTTACCTCATACAGTTTTGCACCTTCTTGTGCTGATGAAAATGTGTTAATTGATAACAATATAAAGAAAGGATCCACTAATTAATAGAATTGGTCTTTCACAGATCAACCTTCATACTTTACTCTTCTCTATAACCATAGTCTTCGAAATTAAATAAGAACGCATTTTTAAACAGATTAAACCACTTTTGCGTGGAATCATATTCAAATTCATTATGACCTAAAACATTGCATCCATCAAAGACTTTTTAAAACTAGGCCTATACATTTCTTTCTTTCAAAATTTTCAAAGTAATTTATTATTTTCACTCTTCTCAAACGGTCACTAATAAGTTTGCATTAATGATGCTATTGTAGGAGGACCTTACTATAAAGGACTTATTAATTAGACAATTAAATTTCATTTTACAGTGTTCAGCAGTAGCTTCGTCGGCTGAGAAAACAAGCACCAAAGGTGTACTGCGCGTGCAAAATCTCGGTGTCGCCAATTCCAAATTACAATCTTTACAATATTGAAATATTTTTAAACGCGTTTCAGAAAATTAATTCATGCATATTCAGTTTATTACCTCATTTTAACTGTTTCTTCAATTTTTTTCTAGGCTAAGTTGGTAACTTGCGTCTTTTCTATCTTTCTTTCAACTCACGGCCTGACTACGCATGCGCTTCTGATACCCGGCAATATACTTCCGGTAATGTATAAGTTATGGAAGGTATCTCGTGACAAAAATATACGAATAACCTAAACCCAGTAATATGCCCCTGAGAAAATCTCACTGCCCTGTGCCCTTCAACTTAATCTATGGTAAGAAGGCACCAATTAAATTATATATTAGGATGAAGAAAATGTGTGGCTTATACTATGATTAGAATTAAATAGGCCTGTTACTTTAATTGTTTGTAGCTAAAATGTCACTGATGATTAATTAAAGACTAATAATGATCGTTTATAGCCAAAATGTCATTATTGACAAGATAATAGTTTATAGCTTATGTGATGAATGAAGTGGTGATTAAGATCCAACACCTTCAGCATATTGAAATTGAACTGACATTGCAAATGATTAATTGTGTATCTTGTTCTATTTATAACTCTCATGCTTGTTCCACAATTTAGTGTCTATTTTGGTTTGGGACCGAATTGACTCTGCCGCCCTGTAGTACTAAAAGACACATTTCTTATCTAGAATGTCTTGATAATCCTTTAAAATTTGAACCAATTTGCCTTCCATGCATTTGATATGATTTTATTTTTTTTTTTTTAAGTTATTTCAATTTTCTTCTTGTACAGTATCATCATTAAATAATCATATTTTAGACATGTAAACATCAATGTTTCTTGTATCAAGCTACTAGACATATTTAAAACTATATTGACAACAACCACATTATTTATACAATTCATTTATTTATGAACTTTGAAAATATAAGTATTGATACATACATGATTAAAAATAACTCCAAGCTGATATGATATTTTAATAACACGAAAGACTAAATAAAATAAATGAATTTATGGAGCAAAGAATTGAATTAAGTTAAAAAAAAACAAAGACTACAGAACAGATAGATCATCTGTAATTGAAAACAGAGTTCTACCAACAGTTTGAGGTATATTTAAGATAGATTTTTGTCACAAAATCAGTTTGTTGGATTTCATTTTTCAGTCTACTGTTAGGTTTTAACTTTCAGGTAACAAAAAAGAGTTACACATAAAAATGCCAAATGTGAAACACAAAACTTGAAAACAGATTTTATGACATTCATTTGTTAGAATAAGTTTATAATATTTGCCAATATAACATTAAAAAGAATTATTTGGATAATGAAACAAACTGTTTCAAAGCTTTATCTTAACAAATTAACTCTAGATGATTTAACTGATAAGCTCGATCACTATTCAGACTAGATAGTCAATTTCAAAAATATATATTTAAATATTTCAGCTTCAACTAAGTTAACTTCTCAAGATAAAGCCTCATTGAATCAGGATAGAAATAATGAAAATTAAAAGAAAATGAAGACTGGAAAGGTTTGAAAGACAAATGTGAATAATAGGATGATAAATAGAGATAATGAAATGTTTAAAACACAATTTTATTTTACAACCAAACTTTCATTATATAGTTTATAATTATTTTCATCAACATATATAATCATATTGTAATATCCTGTCATAATTAGAACAAATGAAAGCCTTTCTACCTGTTGATGCCATTCTTCATGGAGATTATTTTTGTTAAAAGCCAATTGAATTAAAGGGTATGAGACATCCATATATGCAGGGTATCTTAGTGATTACCAATGTAGATAAAATATTTATATTTAGGCTATATTATGAAAGATTGAGAACACCATGTTAACTAAAGCTGTGATGAGATTGCACTAAGTCTAGTTTATAAAGTTACTATATATACATTCTGGTCACAGTACACAATTATTTACATATATCGTTGAATGTACCTTTATGTTTGGTTTTCAACATTTTATCACACCACTGATGCCTTGGACCTCCTAAAATAAAAACAATCAATTGTCATTGGAAATTAAATACATCTGAATGATATTAGTACATGTATAGAAAGAAACAAACAACAAGATTGTACTAAGATAATAACTAAGGTTCTACCAGCTGATCCTTGGCCAAACCTATTGGCATTATTCACTCTCAGATTATCCCTACATATTTACCAGACTTTCACTGAAATTATTATTCAAGCCCACCATTATTTGACTTAACTAGGCAAATGTTTATGGACCAGAAAGCTTTTGTGAAATTTCTCATTAATGTTACATTTTTAAAAAAAAAAATTAGGATTTGAATAACAATATTTTCATGAGCAAACAAATCATTATGTAGGAATATTTTAAGCTAGCTTTATTTTTTCAACTGAAAACTGAGACTCTTGACAAAATACAAAATTCTGAATTGGATATTTTAATTATTAAATAAGTGAGTCATCAGTAACACTACTTACTTGCCATGTCCTTCTATAGCATAAGAACATCTTTCTGTAGGATCTATTAAATCAGCAGGTTGTGGACAGGAACTACGTCGTTTACGTCTGGTACTACCAGGTGATGTTTGTGTTAATGTCTCTACATCATAATAAACAACAGATTTACCACCACCAGCAGTAGGTATAACATCACCCTGAAATATATATACATACATCATTATATTTGCACTACAAGCTGCTTATTGAATTGTCAAAATCTATGTCCAATTTCCATGCCTTAAGGTGGACCTGTTTGGGCTAATGAGGATGGGGCCATGCAATGTGCAATTAGAGAAATTTTACCAGGACAATGGTATTGGCCTATCAGAGAAAAGCCTGTAACTTACAGAGCCTGTTTTATTGTCACATCGTAAAAATTTCAGACAATATTTCCATGTCAGCTAATTTGAACTGCACCACTCAGAAGGACCAGGTTGAAAAATTCAAAGGTAATATTTCGACATATGCCAGAGTTAAATCATGAACCTTCAGGTTGGCAACCATGACTTCTGACAAATTCTGAACTATTTTTATTATCATTCCTATGGATTAATTGTTAATATCTCACCTTAATAATTTTTGTGACCATTTCATCACTTGAGTCCGGCTCCTGATGAGTTAAACAATATTGAGTTGCATTCTTCATATCATCAATTTCTAGTTTCGTAACTGATTTCTTCTTTTTCATTGTTGGTCTCATTATAGTACCTATCAAAGAAAAAATATACAATGTGTTTTACAATAGAAACAATAAAGACATGAAAGATGTTAAATCCCACATTTACTTTCTCAAAGTATGAAACATAATGTATTATCAATCAAGTATGCATTGTTTGCAGAACTAGAAAGTTTTTTGTTTTAGATTTAAGATAATTTACAAACCTAATGGTGTTGAATTTTTAGGTTGATGATCTAAATATAACTCGGCATTAGATGTAGATTTTGATCTTCTTCTGGTATTATAAGCAGGGGCACGCTGAAACATTTTAATTCAAATTTAATGATTTATCAAAAAACAATGAAAGCTATATATTAGTTTGAATAAAATGAAAGGTATGAATGAGTGATATTTTTGCAAATATAGAAATGATTCAATACAGAAAGTAAGGAGTTCATTTGAGTATATTTAATTTGTAGGCAGTTCAAGGTGTAATATTAGTAATAGTTAGTTTCAATTACCGTACCTCCTACTGACTGAATATAACATAGACTGTGGTTATGTTGGAAATTGTCCTATGTTGTCCATAACATCTTTGCTGTATATAATCAATGATAATGCAAATGAAATTGGTATTTATCAAAATACATACCACTGGTCTAACAACTGACGTTCCAACTCTATTGATGTCATATAACGATTTAGCAGATGCCATAGCACCTCTAGTTATTCTACTACCACTGTTTCCTACACTAGACACATCTGTTTCTGATTTAGCACCATATATACTACTGGGTGTCATTCTAGGTTTGGGTGCAGGTCGTGGTGGTTGAGGAGTATTTACAGCTCTTCTTATAGATCGTATCTTATGTTCATTAGCTTGTATCTTTTCATCAGCTACTATCTTCTGTTTAGCAATGTCCTACAAAGCATATTTACCTTTAGAATTATATTGTTGATTCAAAATATAGATATCTAAATTCTTTCGGGTTTCGTGGTGCAATTCCACAAAATAAACCCCTCAAAATATATAGGAAACAGCTTATTTTGTTCCATGAAGATGATACTCCTCTATATACGGTAATCTCAAATTAGGCATATTATGTTTACAATTATATGACTGTGATATTTTGCATGCCCTTCACAGACAAACAAACACAGTAGTACTAAGTCATACCATATTTTTCTCCTCCAATCTACTAATAAAATCTTTCTTTAATCTCTCTTTCTCTTTCTTTTCTTGTGTTATCTTCCAATTCTTATCTTCTAACTAAAATTAACAGTTGTATATTATTATATTGTCTTTTGCAAAATGCTAACTATCAGCCTTAAAATTGAATCTAATTTAAATTACTTTAATATTTTTCACATAGAGATTTACTTACTTTTAAATTCATGATACTATTTTCTTTTTCTAAACTCTTAATATATTTGCTTGTTTCTTCATATTTTTTCTCTAACATCTTCAGTTTATTTTCATTTTTGGAACCATCTTTAGTTTTCTTTTCCATTAATTTTTCTAATTGTTCATTTCTAGATTGTAGTCTGTAATATTCTTTTTCCATATCCACTAATCTCTCTCGGAACATTGCCTCTAAAATACACCAGTAGAAATTCGTTAATGATTAATTTATTATATGAAAGTAAAGCTACGATTTCAAACACAAATAATTGAATTTTACTGGCTCTTTATTAATAATATCTGATTAAGCAGGAATAGATATTTTTCTGAAGGGACGCAGTTGTCTGAAACTGGACAAAACAATACAGTAATATAAAATTTCAACAGAAAATATACATATATAGTATACTTTTTAAGAAATGAATTATCTTACGTTACCTTTTTTGTTAAAGTCAACATTTAATGTCTGTCGTCTGTTATATCTTATTCCTAAAAACTCTTCTAAACAACGTAATGTTTTATCATCTGATGCATGAAGTAATTCCATGGGTGGGAAAGTTGGTCCTAGACTATATACTAGTGATGGTAATACAGGTACTGCTGTTTAAAAAACAATAATGACAAAATGAGTTTACATTATTATAATGGTACCCCCTCTCTCAATAAACACCATAACACTGTAAAATTTACATTACTTTTTGATAATTTTTATTCTAAATTTTGATCATTAATTTATAGTGAACTGGCCCTTAACCATGATTGACCAAATTAATCACATTAAAGGAGACAAAGACTTAAAAGCAAGGTAAATACATTGGTAGACAAGAAAAGTTTCTCTGAAACATTTTTACATAATAATGTAAATATTAATGGTAATCTTACCATCTTGAGGTTCATTAACATTACCAGCTTCAATACGTTGTTGATTCATTTTACCTCGACCTGGTGTTAAACCATTATCATTAAACCTAACTTGTTGGGCTCTAGTTATCATCACTTCCTGAGTCATTTCAGCAAACTTCATTACATGCTGTCAATAGAAAATTAGATATTAAATTAAAATAACATGCTCTTTGAAAAATTCATTTGCATCAAATATCTAATGTTTTCAAATATTTTACGCCACTGGTTAATGGTGTACTCTGGATAGACAGGAGCTCAGACATGGCAGTAGGTGGATAAAATGGTAAAGAAGCACTAAAACATTCCTAAGTAATCCTTAGTCTCTTCTTCTACACGTATATTGAGAAAACTGTAGACATAATGTAAAGTATAAAACCAAGTTCAATAGAAACACTTACAATTGTCTCTTCATATTCTTGACTTCTAGGATTAACACAAACAATCATTCTTACTTTACCATCACCATCAAAATATGTTTTAAATAGATGTGTTAACTTAGAATCTCTATATGGTACCATCTATAAAATATATCAATTAAAGATTAATATTAATAGTATAATAGAAGTTCAATATTAAATCAAGTGGTGATAATGATTGAAAGCCAACATTTGGAAGCACTGGCTATGGCATCAGAATTTTTCCAACCTGAGAATTCAAAACCACAGCCCCTTATCCCCTTGAAGACGAAAACTAGCCATTGACTGAAGTATTTCACTACCAGAAAAAGAGCGGGTGAACAGTTTTTTAAACTGAAATAATCTGCAGGAACAACAGACAAAAATTCATATACAAGAAAGCAAGCAACCTCCATTGTTCCTTACCTTATTAGCATTGGTTTTCTGATTTTCTCTTAATGTTTCTAAACATGTTCTTAATACCATCAACGACTGATTGATACTTCCTATAAACAATAGAATTCAATGTCAATGTCATGCACATCATATTGATAAATATTTCTTACAGACCATTTAAATTATCATTTACTTTTATGCTTTTGACACATTCCACATTTTGATTTCCAAACCTTGAATCTAGAGTCTGTAAGAATTGCAAGCTAGGGGACAAGCTATTTAGTTTCGAGTGATAACAACAATAGAATACAGCAAGTCTGAGTGGAGTTTATCTATGCAAATCAGGTTGCTCTCTGTAACAGCCTTGATGGATTAAGATGCATTCTAAGATATTTGTACCTTCATTTGTTTTACATTAGGTATCATTGACATGAAATGACAAGAATAAATTAATTTATTAGGCTTAGGATAAGACAAGATCTTGAAAGAACCCATACCTGCTTCTTTTAATCTATCACCCATATTATCTGTTCGTTTACATCTTTCACTTCCAGCTAAATCTACTAAAGATAACTGACTGATACAGATTCTTTCTGGATCCTACAATGATATATGATATTGATACCAAAAATGTTGAATTGTGATTTGTTAGCAATAATGACTGAAATAGACGACACCACCAGATGTTGTGAAAAGTCTTGGCATTTGTTTATTTCCACCATAATTATATTATTCAAATTATATTCATCATAACTTTTCATGAACTAATGATTATAAAAGTATGTTCAATCCTCTGTATTGTTATCAAAATATCCAAACCTGTATAACTTCCTCTCCTCTATCATCTAATGGTGCCTGTACTAATCTTATAGTAAATACACTATGACTTCTACTAGATTCAGCATTCAGGGCGGTATGGGCTACCTTTCTTCTTTTCTGACCTAATACAAGCAAAAATAAAATAACACTACTTTTAATCTAAAGTCTAGTAAACAAAAGCTCATCTTATCTTCAAGTTAGTTCTGAAATAAGCTTATAAAATCAGTGGATAAAAAAAGCAAATGCTGAGTAAGTCATCATAATTTTGCAAGTGGCTTAACTTAAAAATATATATAGAACGAACGTACTGAGGCTTGCTGACTCATTTAATGTCATCTTCAAACTAAAAGGGTGCTCTCATACCTTTGTACATGACTTCAAAGGCTTCTTCTGGACTTTTGATTTCCACTTCGACACAACTATTAACATACATATTATCACTGTTGTCTTTGCGCAGTATCTTAGATTGTGGTGCCCTAAAAATCATTGTAACAAAAACTGCATTTGATGTTTTTAGGAAATAATTTGCTTAAAATGTGTGTTTGAGGAAAACAAATCAGCATTTGTTGTACCATACTTGGATATCTGCATGAAAGCCAAATAGAACCTTACTTAGAGGAAAGTAGGTGGAGCTTAGCTATGGTACAACATGTACCTCTTGATGGTATTCCATGGCTAAAGTTCCAACCCTTTTTGAAGATATTATGATTTGCACGAGGTTCATTGGATAAAACGATAACCTGATCAATACCATACTAAGTTCAAGCTGTCAATCATTTTATTTATATTAAATGCCATATTCACTACTTTCTCAATAACATACTAATCAAACTCAATATAACAGATTCATTTGTCTATATACTACCTAATTCTTTTGTAAAATATGTTTGCTTTAGCTGAACAAACACAGTAGCAGCTTAATAATAACTGAAATTTTCCTTTAAAATCTAACTTGTTGTAAGCGATCCAATTAAAAAGAAACACAAGAAAATCTAAGCTTTCTTCTAGATTTCAAAATTATTTCAAAGGTACAAACCTGTAGCCTGTAATGGGATCATACTGTAGTTCTTCTAATAAATCAAATACATAGTTATTATATATTTCTACATACGATACAAATACACCATATCTATTGTCTTCTTCTATATCTTCAACTTTACCCATATCTCTCAATCTTGTCTGTTCACCAAAGTTTCTGAAAAAATTTACCGTGAAATTAAAGAAAATTTGTGAGCTAGGTGTTGATGCTTATAGCTAATATCTAAATGTTAGGAACTAATGCTGATATTTACTAGGTATTAAGGTAAATACTTACGGTGGTTTTGGGGTGCTAGGTGTAGAGGGTATTCTTGGTGTTCCTACACCAGGTAATATTTCGCGTTTCTGTCTTTCTAACATAGCATCTACTTCTGTCTGAACTTCAAAACTATTCATTCTATCTGGTTTGAATACCTATAAGTGAAATTTCAAAAATGAGTAAATGTTCAAATATATCACCAATTTATCAGAATTTAGCAATATCCTCCAACTAAGGAAAAAACTTTTGTGCTTTTGCTGCAAGTAACTTTACCTGCTATCCATGATCTAGTAAATTGTCTACCATACCCTTCAGAGAAATTTAATATCACTAAATCAAATGCTCTGTTTAAAAATATGCCATTCTGTACTCTACTTACATATTTTTTAACTTGATAATCATCTATACTGTTAAATAGAACATCTAAACACCGAGGTAATATACCTTGATCTTTAGGAGAACCAGTCATGGTAAATGTTTTACCTGATGATGTTATCCCATAGGTAAATAATAATCCTACAAAATTATACAGAAAATTCATATGAGCTTACCAAGTAACAAACAATACATCAAGGTAAACATAGATTTTTTGTGTGATAATTTAAACTAAGATTCTACTTTGTATTTAACATGAATCCAATTTTTTGGCTTTATATATGTATCTGTTATAAGCCTGACACTGGCAACATTTTACAACAATTAAATATTATAGACAAGCAAAACCTCTGTCTCTGCAACTAACATGGAAAAGATCAAACATTTGGTATATAAAAAAGTATCAAAGAACAAGAATTTGTCTTTACCATTTTTGCCATGTAAAAGGTCTTCCACTGTTGGTAAAGCAACATAATCAAAGATAGCTTTCTGTGATGTGTATTCATCAAATACATGTTGAAATGTGTACTGCAGCTAAAATAAAAGAAAATTATTATTAATAAATTATCATAGAATAAAGTTAGTAGAATTAAACAAAATTTTGAAACTGTACTCTTGTCTTGTCTTGTGTTCACAAACAAATTTTGACGCATATTTCATAAATCAAGGGCAATAACTCAAAAACCATTCATCGAAAGACAGCCAAATTCGAACTGGTCCAAGATCTAATCATTATCAACATTAACACCAAATTTCATTTAAATTGAATGAAAACTGTAGTCTCTATTGTGTTTACAACCAAATTTTGATGCGTTTTTCACAAGTCAAGGGCAACAACTCAACCGTTCATCAAAAGATCATCAAATCCGAACTTGTCCAAGATGACATGAATATAAATGATCACACTAAAATAATTCCCACCTAGGTGATAATTCAACAAATCTTGTAAAGAACGGCAAAAAAATTTTTTAATTAGGTGAAAATTGAAGTTTTTAATCAAAAATTACAGGAATTATCACATAATTTTCACGGTGAACCTAGGTGAAATTAAATTTTTTAATTCAAAATTAATTTTCACCTAGAAAATAAAGGTTTTTAATTCAAAATAAAAAGTAGAGATGTTGTTTGTGAGCCACTGTAACGTTCAAATCTTTTGATACCAGTTCATTGATATCTCTATAAAATGTAAGTCTAATTAATCAAACAAATCTTTACAAAAAGAAAAGAATCTATCAGAACTAAGGATATCTATTTTCCAATAACATGCACTAAGAGAATGAAATAATAGATAATAAAAGAAGAGACTAAAAAATTCTACCTCTTTAACTTGTCCATTTCTTATCGTAGCAGCCTAAAATTAATAAATAAAAAAAAACATGCAATAACATTCCATTTATGCAAATATATCAATCAAATATTAGATAATGATAGAATTACTAAATTCACTAATCATTTATGCAAACTCATGCTTAAAGAGATTGTAAAGAGGTTTTTCTAAATTTTGTATGGGTATCAAGGACACTGACAGCATCAATTTGCACCATTCCAATTTTCAATCAGACGTCTGTGGTTCCTACAATTCCACTAAAACTAAGCGTTTGATGACGTCACTATTTGCAAAATATGCATTATCACATAAAGACCTTCACAATTAGTAATGTCAAGAATCATGGAATTGCAGGAACCACAAATGTGATTGAAAACTGAAATGGTGCAAATTGATGCTAGTTGAAAATCATCAAATTTCACATATTTTTTGCTGTGATATTTTCTTGTGGTGTGTTTCGATAGGAAAAGCTATCCAGCGATTAAGCTTACTACATATTGAATTACAATCAGATAATGAACATTACTATTACCAGTATATAAATTAGATACTTTTCTGAGTTTAGAAACTAGAATTTCTACGTGAATCCCTTTTCAAAGCATTTGGAGCAGCCAGCTAAATCTAACATTAATACTAATTGGCAGAGAAAACATAAATAAACTGATGCCACAGTATCTAACATACCAAACTGGCATGACAAAACTATGCAGAAAACAAATCAATATACATGTATGCAATGATTGTTGAATCAAGGAAGATACAAAAGGGTCATGAAACACAATGACATAGATAAACAAATTTTGCTGGACAGTAGCTCTTTAAAATAGTAAGATTTGGCACCACAAATACAACACTGGTGAATTTGTGTTTTAACAAAAAAATACACTAGAAACTGTTTTGTTTGTGAAAAAAAACTGATAAAAACAAAACTTACTTCTGTAGGATTTAATTGTACGGTTGTTTCACTTAATACCTGGACACAAATTTCATCATCTGGATTACCTATTGGTCTTATACGACAGTATACCTGTAATATAAAACACCTCAGTTTTAATGTACCTGTACCAGTAGTTTCAGGATCATTTTCATCACTAATTGGGGAAGGTATGTTAAAATCAACAATATATTCTTAACATATTTTATCATATATTTTATTATTGTTTTTTTTTAACATTATCACACACCTCATACAAAACTAAACGAATCACATTTTGTTAGAGGGATCAGTTTTGAATATGTTCTGAAAATCAATTTCTGGAGGGAGAGTGTTTGATAATGTATCATTTGCTTGTGATTATCCTGGGGTTTAGAGGTACTAGGATTGGGGACTAGAAATCTTTCTTATGGTTGAGACGAGGAACCTATGTGATTGAGACTAGGAATCCTTCCTGTGGTCAATGTAATAATAGATATCCTTCTTGTGGTCAATCAAGACCATTCAAAATCCACACAAGATATTGTACAGTTCTCACCCATGAATTTTGTTTTATCAATTATTCAAATATCTTATTGAATTTTAAATCACTTAAACTTATTGGATTATACTCTTAAAAATTATGAAATGCAACAAACAAAATTTCAAGCAATGGAAATACAATATTCGCAACCATATTTTAATAATTTGGATGTTGGAATAATGCTATAAAAGTAAATAGTAATTAACCATTGAATTACTTACATCAGCACCAAGTTTCAAAGGTATTAATATTTAAGAAAGTGGTGTTAGGTAATTTGGAATCTGAAGTACCGGTACCAGTATTTTTTCAACTTTACTTTAAGGCTCTCATCTCAATTATTAGTTTATTTTGAGTCAGGGCCAAGTTAAGATTAAAGACACTACTAGACCTAATAACAGAATTTCTTTCAGAATTTTCTGTGATAATGTTATCTATAACCTCTCGCTTATCTCAGCAATCTTACGAACCAACAATAACAACATAGATCTAACCACTGTAGGCTACCTACCTCAACTGGGTCTTGTTGACTAGAATTATTTGTGTTTCCTTTTTTTCTGGGGGTTTTACACCTTCTGCAACATAAAAAATACTTGATAGAAAATTACGATTTCAAATTTGGTTTTGTTCTAATGATTAATATCTTCATAGATATATTTGGGCATCCACTCAGCCTACACAACAAATGATAGTAAACTGTGTAAAAGTAAGCCGCCAAACAACAAAAGTGTATCGATTGTCACAAAGAAAAATAGCTAAAATTTCCTTAACAAAAGCATTCATGTCAAAAAACTTCGTGATATTTTTTCTTTGAATACTATAAGAAACAAATCGTGCAACTATTGGTACTTACGCAGGCTTCATTTTCAGATGTTATCAAAATTTCAATAAGAAACGGAAAATTTGCCACAATAAAATGACCCTATTCTGTTGACTTCCGGTTTTTGAATTTGGAGCACGAAAATGATTAATCATGGCTAAACCAATGAAAAGAGCGGATTGTGTGTCTAAAAATAGATGTAAAGGTGCATTACCTTTTCCTAATTATCTCCGGCTTGGAAGAAATGCAGCGTGGTGGGGGAGAGGATTTGCCAGGGCTATCAAAAAATCTTTTACGAAGTAGAAATTCTGAAAAGTCCATTTTTCTTCGAGTCGTTTCTTTTTCTAATGACGTCATCGAGAATTTTACGTCACATTGACGCATGCGTAGAATTTAGAAAGAGGATGCCCAGGAGGATTCTTGGAGGATGCCACTTAGCCATAGATTGTGTACTAATAACAGTATGGTGACACACGTGACTGAGTTGCGCCTCAAAATAGTACTGATAGTTTTAGAATGACTTTGCGTTGATGAAAATATAAGCATTAAGTACACATTATGTGTACAAAATTTGTTTTGACAGAGGACAATTTTCAGTCAAAATTTACAAATTTTCATTGTAAACTTAGAATTAACATAAAATTTAAGAATTTTAAACTTGGCCAATAAGAGCCAGTAGATATACCTGGTGTCATAAATAACATAACGTGAACCTTATATAATCCGATAAATCCAAAAAACTCAGTAAGAACCCATAAATATGCAATTAACTATTGAAAAACGCTTAATCAAGATTAAGCTTTTTTCCATAATAACTTAGTTTTATAAATTTTCCAATATTCCAGAATTTACAGGGATTCTGTTGTAACTTTATGACACCAGGTAAGCTAACTGATGAATAAAGATTTATATTGACCATTTCGAGAACTTGTTCATTGTAAGATGTAGTATCACTTTATAATAGACCAGAAGATTCTAAGAACTAACAGTTGACATGTAGAGAGTTGACTGGTTATCGTGTCAACATATTACGAGAGCATTGAATGAATAATTGTTTGACACTGTAATGTAAATTATTTTGTTTTTAATATTTTTGTACCGGTAGATCATATTCTATTATTCTTGTAGATCATTGTTTGACACTATAATTTATAATAGGACAGGCAGCCATATTTTTGGGGGGTTGATTTGAGTGATGTTCCAATTGTCCTTGACAGTCAATTAGCTGTTGTTGAAAATCAAACGATTCTTAAAATCTAATCCCAATCAAAAGTCGTCAATGCCAGTTACGTTCTTTTTTGTTTTCTTTTCTTTGTTGATATGAATTTGTATTTTGTGATGTTGACTTACATTGCAATTACCTGCATCATAATTAATAAAAAAAATGATAAAATTAATTTATGAAGCCTTTAATTGTGTACATTTTTCATGAATTTAAAACCGCATTGAATGTGACGTGTTGCGATTATTAATCAATTGTATAATCAGTTATGCCTTTCTGATTATTCCTATTAATCAATTGCCTATCACTATTGACACTTTAATATGGGTTTTATTAAGCACTGCACCCATTTATTTGTTATATTTTGAAATATTTTTTTTATAATCTAAAGGAGAGATAAAACTGAATGTTATAGTGACAAAATTTGGAAATGTGTTTTAGAAACATTATAACACATGAAGGTCATGACATTAAACAAGAATCATAGATAACAACTGAACTTACTAATATTAATGTAAATTGATATATTATCATCTAGTCAGAAGGCACCATTTTTGTTTTGTTTTTGCGGCTTGATACATTGTTTTCAAATTACCATACTAATAATTTTCATCTTCCCTGATCTTTATATCATTGATAATTGAATTCTTGTTTTCACTTTCTGTGTAGTACTTGAATTGTATGCACAAGAATACTTAGTTAGCCACAACCATTACTGATTTTTCAAGGGTTTCTAAGTTAGCACTTATAGGGAATAAACATAAAATTTGTAAATTATAATCTTGGCCAATCAGAGCATATAAATTATTCATCAGTAGATATACCTGGTGATATTAATAACATAACAGGATCCTTATATAATCCGATAAATCCAAAAAACTTAATAAATATGCAATTAACTATTGGATTAAGCATTTTTCAATAATTACTTAGTTTCATGGATTTTCCAATTTTCCAATTTTTATAGGGATTCTGTTGTAACTTTATGACACCAGGTAAGTTCACTGATGAATATAATACTTGTATTGACCATTCTTGAGAATTAAATTTTATGTTTATTCTAAGGCGTAGTATCACTTAAAATGCTGTTAAGATGAAAAGAAGAGAAATATAATGCAAATTATATTTTAATAAGTAAACAGAATTTATTTTCAAATTTCCACAACTAGCATAAAATATAAAGGAAATGGCACATAATGTAACATATTATATTTATCAATATTGACAGAGACACATACAATACAGCTAGGTGCTCACTTATTATAAAAATAGTTATAAACATGCATTTTCTTTTCAAACAATTCCCCCCAAAAAATCAAATAAATGTTTTTAAGAGTCTTCCAGAAAAAATATTCTTTAGTAGTTTTCTGGAAATCTATTATTTAACTAGTTTTCTAAGCAAACAATGGCCTTTTTCTGTGGAAGTACTTGTAGAGAAAATTGTGACCAAATAAGTATGTGACAGTGTTAGTACCACTCAGTCTGTTGCATGTGACTATGGTATATAAATAGTATTATTTTCAAATATGTAACAGATTTATATACTCATAAAGTTGTGAGAGAAATGTATATAACATATTTATTAATTATTTGAAAATAACACTAGAAAGTTAAAGAGGATTTTCCTCTGCTCAATATAAAAATTAAATCTTTTCTTGAACAGAATTTCATTAATGAAATTTACCTAGAAAGTTTCCAAAAAAAACCCCAATTATATAAGCACATTGTGACCCCATGGAAATTATCATTTATAGTTCCTCTTGTAACACTATGTTATACAATAATACCTTGGTATATGGAAATACTCATAGTAAAATATATAATCTTGATCATCCACAGTAAAATTGAATTGGTTATTATATGACTAGCAATTTTAGGGTGAAACATTCCCTGATATTAGCATTGCTGTGAATGTGACATGTTATTTATCAATAAAAATTGTATCCGACAACAGAATGTTGCCAGCATGAATTCGTCTAGAGTTCACAGAGATAGAGAAAGCTATCCATAACCTTGAAAATTAGCTCAATGTTCTTGCATCAAATGTGATCTGTTATTAACATTTTAAAATCCCCACCGAAGAAATCTACAGACAGAAAACAAAGATAAAACTCTAAAAGAAATAAATATATCAATATAACAAAAACAAAATACTAAATAAAGCATTATGATAACAAACCTTAAAACACCATATGAAATAAAAACACACACCACAAAATAGAAAATATAAGCTTCTTTTTAACTAAAACTTTTTAAATATCTAAAATCAAAGTATGAAAACTGTAAATCTTTTTGAACTCATTTACTATAAAAATATTACTCAAAATATTCAAAATTCTCAATGGTTCTTGCTTACTACGCTACTTGTCCAGTAAAATGGTACATTACACGAGATGTCATATCGTAGGTGACAGCTTGCAACCTCGTATAACGATATATGATGCGAAATTACTTTTCGAGAAAAATGCAAAAAACTATTTGTACGCATATTTTGTTAAAATCTTTTTATTATTTTTTTTACAGCTATACGTGGTTTTCATTCTTTGAAAATATAATAGTACAGTATACGAGGTTTTTCATTTTCATCCGCAGAAAAAGGAACAGTGAACCTCGTATAATATAATATTTTATGAGGTTTTAAACTGACTGTTTATATGTGTTATATAATTAGTGCTTTTTGAGTTATTTACAATCAAGCTAAGAATATGAGGTTTTGATCACAAGATCCGCGCTTTTATGAGCAATCGAACTGTACCAAAAAGTCGAAATGACCAAATATGGCATATACAAGGTTTCAAGCGGTCACCCAGGATATATTTGTGATGCCACCAAAAACCTAAAGTACCATATCCTTACAATAAATCCAACATATCAATAATTTGTGTAGATTATGTAAGCCTGGTATCATATAAAGACCTAGAATTTGGCTGTACCTAAGTTTGAAAAGGTATACATGGATATATTGACTGCAAATAGTTGTATCAATTTAAAACATTTACATTTTTTTATACGATTTACAATTTATACAAATATATATCTATCTGTAAATCTCAATCTGTATATTGCACTTAAATACTAAGCCCTACCTTATATTGCGCTTTCTGGGATTCTAAGCATTTTAATGTACTAGAAATATATTTTAAACTCAAAAAAAGTATAAACAAAGCCAATATTGCAAATTGAAAGGAGCAAACATCAATCCCTTCAATGTTGGTCTCTAATATACAATCACAAACAATATATAATAACTCATGGCAATTTTAATACATCATATTATAATATTACAGATATATATATATATATACAGAATACCTTTCATATAATAATATAATAAAATTATACACTATACATAACAAGGGTAATAATCAAATCAATATGAAAGACAGGGATTAATGTACATACATGTAAGGATATCTAGACACACGTGCTGTTGTTATTCTTATTTGGAGACAAATTTATATTTATATATTGTACAATAATAAAATAGTTTTAAGGTTAAAACATTGTTCAATACATCAATTGTAAAGAGATATAGAAATATTAAACAGAACTTGAAACAAGTAGTTTCATGCTGTGCGCTCTTCAGACAACTGACCTATTTCAGCACAGCGTGAAACTTGAGTATGAAAATGTTTCAGGTTCTGTTTCAATATTCATATATTATACATAGTTTTGTACAATGTAATTTTTCATTTTCTTTCTAAGCTTTAAAAATATAGAACAAAGTTTATCTCATACACTATTTATAAATAGTTCAGTCAAACCTTTATTTGTAAGCTTCAAATAAATTTTCAAATCTCTCTGAAAAAACCTTTTAAAATATTTGATTCTTAATGTTTTTGTTATGTTTTGAAGGTATAAATAAGAAAAAAATATTTTTTGTGCTCATTATGTTTTCTGTATAGAAAAGAAGAGACTGATTTTAGCTATCATATGAAGGGGATTAGAGGGGATAACACTTGTTCTTATAATTATTGTACTTTTTGATATATCAGTCTATATTATTACTGTAATAATGACAGACCTAGAAGTATATCAAATTAAATTGTGAAACAATTCCTTGCACCATTATTAATCATAAACCATTATTATAAACATACCGGTACCAAACAATATTACATTAAATCTGTTGTTTTTAATATGTTATGAGCTATAATTAAGAAATTTGTTATTGTGACCTGTTAGTGTAATAAATTTTTATCATGTAATGAATTGAAAGTATGAGGTTATGTTAATCATAGATATTGGAATTTTCAAAATCAAGATCACAAAAAGGCAGGCATGCTGTTTTCTCTGCCAAAAGTTTTTAACTTCTTTCACATTAAAAATACTTGGTCTTTGATGTTTTAAGTGTCTATACTTTTTCCTTATTAATAATATTATAAATATTTAATTGTGATGTCTAATAGAAAAAAAAAACCTATTTCTTTTTCTTTTTCTTTTCTTCTTTTAATTTCTTTTTCCTTTCCTTCTCTGCTTCTTTTTCCATTTTCTTTTCCCTTTTTTCCTCTTCTTCAAGATATTTAGGATTTTCTTTTATTCTTTCTTCAATACTGAAATAAGACAGCATGTTTGAAATAAAACATAGTCATTTGACTCACTATCACTCCTAAGATATACATTTTTTTATCGATATCTGTTTATCAAAAAATCATGTTATAAATTAAAACACCGAATTTCATTTAAATCGGATGAAAATTGTAATAAATGTAATGTGTTTACAAACACATTTTGACACATTTTTCAAGGGCAATAACTCAAAATCTGTTCATCAAAATAATCACACAAAATTTCATAAATATCAATTAAAAACTGTAAGCCAATTTGCTGACAGACAGACCGAGAGAGTAGTGGTTATTATGACGTTTACACAGATATTGTCAGATATACTTCACTATTATAATAAAATAAATTAAATGTTAGTGTTAAAACGTGGGTATGCAAAAATTCAGTAGAGAGAGGTATTACGACTAGTTTTATGATATTGTTTCAAAATTATCAACTTTCTACCCAGGTTAATATAAGTTACTTTAACATAATCTTAGGTTATTCAAAATCATAATATTTTCTTCAACTAACACAAACTTATACAAAAAAAGTGATTTTGTTAATTATTAAATCTAATATCTACAGAAATTAATTGACGAGTAATTTAAAAAATAACCTGATTAAAATACACATAAAAATATTTTTTCACTATTTTCATTGTGTATGTTGGCATTTAAAACATATTCCATCAAATCAATTGCTCTATTCAATACAGATTCCAAATCAATTGTAAGGAAATGTTGGCCATTACAAATTAATCACTGTATGTTATTAACAGTTGTGCATGGTTTCATGAATTTCATTGAGTGAGTTAACCTACAGAAAGTATATATCATGAAACATTGCGAGTATTTTAATCAGATTAAGAAATAAATTAATAAATATAAAATAAAAATTAATATTAGTAGAGATAAAATGGACATTTTTTTTTTCAAAAATTGTTCTTAAGCTCACATACATCATGTGGGATTGTTATATGGTCATATTCAATATAAATCAGATCAAATGAAAGGAATTGTAGTATTTTGCCAAGATATTGCATCATCTTTATTTTCATATGTACCCACATTCTACTATAAAAAGATGATGGAAAGGTTTTAAAATCTTTTGACAAATTTTAATATCAAAATCTTTTAAGACCACTTAATTATCTAACCTAAATCTACAAGATCATCAAATAATCAAAATAAAATAAAACAAAGGAGAAAAAATATCTACTACTCATGCAGCATGCTAAGACAATACAATAATTTACCTGTAGGTATAGGTATAATATAACCTATAGAAAATCTCAGCTAGGTGTGGAAGGGGTAGTGGAAGGTGTAGATAGGGACTGGTAAATTTTTTCATCATAACTGTGGAATAGGAAAATGAGGAATGATTATTTCAAGGTAGACTTTAGGTGGGAGAGGTTCAGAGCAAAGTCTCAAAGCACTGGTTGTGGAACTGGAAAGTTTTGCATTGTTTTGGGGATATTCACCTTGCAGACAACAATAGATGGTTTTTAAGGACTCTTTGTGCTTTCTGTATATTTTTTTGTCTTAATGTAAACTCTCCAAAGGATTTTAAAATTTCATCAATTAGTCTTAAAAATGCTTTATTTTTTCTAATTCAAGTTTTTCTATGAACATTAAGTGATAAATATCCAATTTGTAACTTTGACAATACATACACTTTGACAGCATCAGGGATATTCAAGTTTTGCATTGGTATAATCTGTCCTAAATCTTGTAATGTCTTCACAAATTTCAACTTTGAACTAAACTTGGAGCTGAAAAAGAATAAATTAGATAATATATGAATACTATGTAAATATATTCAAAACATTGGAGGAATTTTATGACATAGCTTTTGCCTTAAGTGTTAATAGTGAGATTGTATACAGTTAACATCTATATACATACAGGAACAACAACCATCTGAAGGAAAATGGAATACGCAAATAGGAGTCATGAATGGCCCCTGATAACAAATCTAGAAAACCTATTTACAACCCATTCAAGGTCACAAAGACATTATGTGTAAATATGATGTATTAACATAACAATAAAAAACAACATTATGATCATGAATTCAACTTATAAGTAAATAAACAGTCTATGTGATACCTGATAAATGGTTTTGTCATTAAGACAACTGTACGTAACCACAGTGTTGGATGAACTAAAAACAACGACTTTAAATTCTTCTTTAATCTGAAACAAACAACAAAATATTTAATGTAGGCTAACTGAGTATGGACTTATTAAAAAAAGGCAACAGGACGACAGTGAGAAATTTCACCTGAATGTTTACTCTTTTCCAACTGTCACAATATCTTTTAAGTGGACAGTCTGAAGCACATGTGGCCACTAAGTTTTACACTTTGTTTCATTACTCTTGAATAATACTTCAGTTTCAGTTAGGCAATTAGCATCTTTCATTGGTCTTCTAGTAAATGCTTTTCATGCAATTATCAAAGCTCCTCAGTAATATCTGGACATTTTTTAGCAGATAATAACAAAAAAAATATCATGAAACAATGAAATACCTCCTGTCAATCATCTGATAACATTTCTTTAACCAACTAAAACTAGGAGACTGTTTTTTAGGAGTAGCACCATGAAAATATACTATCATATAGTCTTCAGCTACTAATTCTTCTAATGTATGTACTACATAGCTAAAATATATATCCAAATGCAATGAGTAAAACAAGGAAAATAAAATATTAACCAATCTTGAAAAGCCTATGCCCATTCCGATAATTTGCATTGGATCTGGCAGTACAATTATGTACAAACTAATAGGTTCATATTTGTCTCAATACCAATATTCAGTATAGCCCTTTATTACTATGTTGCCATTAGATCCTGGTTGATCTAGATTTATTAAAATGGTATTATTCAAAAATAAATTCTAAAAGGTAGTGAAAAATAATTACTGTTCATTCAAATTGACAATATCATAGTATATATGACTCTCATAAAAATTCATTAGTATGTTTTATTATCATTTATATTAAATTGGTATATGTTACCACTAATTATGAATTCTATATTCAGATTGTAAGATAAAAAGTAATAAACTTATAGAATAATCAATACAGCAGATCAACAACAACGGTTTCAGGATTTGACAATTTTAAATCGATACAGAGTTACATAAAATCATCATAATTAGCAATGTTATCCATAACTATAACTCATTAAAGGGATTGTAAAGATATGTTCAATCTAAATTCTTTATCTATATCGGGACACGTCTGATTGAAAATTGGAATGGCGTCTCTGAGAAAACCTTTTCACAATCCCTTTAATATGAAATATATCTCAACTGCTATCTAGTTTAGAATATTACTTACACAAACAGGTGTTCCATAACATATTGATAATCTTTTCTTCTTTTATCAGGTAAATAACATCCCGAAAATACAATTAGGGCATTTAATCCCTCACCATAATATCCTGTAATATATTGTATATAATGTTCACTAAAGATGAGCCGTGTACTGTAAAAAGAACTGAACCGTGATATGATCCCCTATATTTGTACCACCAGTCTAACTTGTATCACAATTAACCAATTAGGTATACTGTAACATTTGACTTCGGCAAAAAAAGCATGACTTATCATTTATGTATATAATGAGTTCAATTTCATTCAAAATAAACAAAGGCTGAGGAAAACAAACAAGATCACACTGATGTACCAAGGACTGAGTGTGGACTACTAAAAGAGCTTGGTGGATGAAAAAAAAAAAATTGCTGCTCAAAAAGACAAAAAATATGAATCATTCCAATAAAAAGGTCTTTTTAATCTTACCTCCATGTGAGATAACTTTTTTATATGGTTCAATTACAATAAGATCTATCCTATATTCTTTATCTCCTACATTTACAACTTTCCATCTTTTAGCATCGTCTAACTCTTCAGCAGCAGTATATTCTTCTATTGGTTCTGATGAGGATGACTTCGCAGGTGTACCACCTAAAATTAAAGTACAAGAAAACCAATAAACGGTTTTGAATCCTCGTGAAAGTAGAATAAAGTAGATCAATGCATGGCAGTATGAAAAAGACATAGGCTTGCGGCAAGTCTCGCAAGCGAATACGCCCACCAGCAGCTTGATAAAGAGCTAAATGTGAACTGTAAAAGAAACTCTATATCGTAGCCTGTAGAGTGAGCAAGAGTTAAAAAAGTGAAAAAACGCGATATCAGAGTTTTATGCGATATCTCTAAAGAAAATCATCAGATCTGCACCAAATTCAATATTGCACAATTTCATAATGATATTGACACACATACAAATGATCAAAAGAATCAATATAGAATTGCAGTCTGTAGAGTGAGCACGAGCCAAAAAAGTGAAAAAAAAAAACGAACGCGATATCAGAGTTTTATGCGATATCTCTAAAGAAAATTATCGGATCATCACCAAATTCAATAGTGCACATCTTCATAATGATATTGACACACATACAAAAGATCAAAAGAATCTATAGAGAATTGTAGTCTGTAGAGTGAGCACGAGCCAAAAAAGTGAAAAAAAAAAACCAAAAAAAACCCGATATCAGAGTTTTATGTGATATCTCTAAAGAAAATCATCGGATCATCACCAAATTCAATAGTGCACATCTTCATAATGATATTGACAGGTATATATAGGTAGATTTAAAAATGAATGCAGGGTAGAAGAATTTAAAAGAACCCCATGTAAGTTTTCTGTGTATTTATAGACTTTATAAGACCGAATTAGTGAAACAGTACTTAAACTTGATAATTGATAATGAAATATTGTTTAAGTGTGTCAAATAAATGTTAAGAGATTTGAATCTACAAAGATTGATTAATTCCACTGATAAAAAACTTGACTGATACATAGCTGCTAGCAGGCAAGACAACAATACATTTTGAAATCTGTAATGTTATCATTAGAATGATGACACATACATATACAGACAAAACATTAATGACAAATTCAGTACATACACATAATAATATAAAAAATAGTAAAAAATTCACATTATGAATATATGAACTGGATAAACATGGCATTGAATATGACGACTCAAAAAGCAATAAAAGGTAAAGTTCCCTTTAAAATAAAGACATTGAAGACTGAATCAGTATTAGTAAGCAGGACAGATGCAGGGAAATGGTAGGATGTGTGTTGGACGGGTTATTTCACCTACTTTCCCACTCCAAATCATTTGATTCATCATCATCATCATCATCATCATCATCAAGAAGATCATCCTCTGAGACATCATCATTAAATACATCTATATCAGGTACTATTTTTCTCTTAGTGTGGGTATCTGATGAATCAGATTTTCCTATTAAGAGTCAGTGTTAAATAGATTCTAATAAGCTATATAAGAAATAAGCATCTAAAACTACCAGTACTATCTACCAAAATTGCCACCAAGATAGAAAAATATCGACATAAATCTAATTTGTTCATAGGTATAAGCAAAACAAACTAAAAGCAATACATTTGATTCAAAACCCATTTAAACCCATGAAGTCATTTATCAAAGAGAAAATAAAAGATATCTCAAACAAAAAAAATACAGAAAAGTATATTTCTCACCAGGTATTGGTGACTCCATGCTAGCAGAACTATCATCTCTTTGTCTAACTTCTTCACCATCCAAAGCTGGTGGTGATTCATCATCTTGCCATTCATCTTTATATACCACATCATTATCAACCTATAAATATCATCATTTATTTTATAAATTCTATTGTCATTATCATAACATTATCAATATATAAATAATATCAACATTGGTGGCAAGATCTTTTAATGTTTTGTTTCATACAGTAGCAATCTTACAATGATGGATTTGGTTTTGAATAAAATAGCTTTCAAAAAGATTACCTTTGATTCTATAGGTGTAGGTGTGGTTTCAGCTACAACCTATAATATATAAATATAATCATTGAAAAGTCTTAATGTAGGTTACTTACACTCAATCTAATTAAAACTAGATTACAATTTCTTTTCTCTTTTTTTTATGATATTTCCATTGTAATCTATGTCTTTTGTTAGAGTCTCGTTCTGAATTTTCCTTTGTCCATCGTTTTTTCATATAAAATAATGTTAAATCTTGGCAATACACAATGATAAGCAAATAAGAACTGAGATATCTTTTTAACAATTGGTTGTTATGGAATCAAGCAAGAAGCACTAAGAATGCAATGTTAAAGGTTAAACAAACTGGTTTACTAAAGCACTACTGTGAAATTCTGCGTGAGAAGCTTTACATCTATCATACATATATGGGATATCATTAGATCAACAACTAAACAAAAGTATTTTAGTGATAAACAGTGAAGTATGATATGAGATTAGAAGACTTGACAGTTTCTGGTTTATGTCATGCAAAATTTTCAGCATGCCTGGTGAAATGGAATTTACACTGAAGTACACAAACCTGGAAATCACTTAGTGAAGTGGGTGTGGAAGGTGTTACTGGTAGTTGAAACACAGCTAATTCATTATCTACATGCTCAAGCAACTGGTTAGATTGGCTAATCAAATTTCCTACCTGCTGATGTTCTTCCTCTAGCCTTGGATCAGTTGTAAGACTAGTCATACCACTCTCAGTACTAGCTACACTCTCTCCTCTAGCTATACTGATTCTCCCTGCACTTGTCATATACACTTCTTTCTTTTCTTTATCAGATAATGATGTATATGACAAGCTGAGGTTATCATTTGTAGAATCTAGCATGCTCTCTGTTACTGAGTTGACACCAGATTCATTTTTGGTGGTATTTTGTTTTGTAAACGTTTCTTCAACTGCCATTTTCTCTAATGGTTCCTGAACAATTACTTTAGGTTCCATGCTCTGGTTTTGAGTAGGCTCCTCAGTGGCATGTATCATTTCAGCAGAAGCACTATCTTGATATTCATTAATTAGGGACGAATTTGCAGGAATACTTAAATCATCATTTAGAGGATCAGAAGAATCAGCACTGAACTCAATGTCATCCTTTGACTTGTGTTCAATAAATTCAATTCCACTTGTATTAATTGATGATTGATAATCAGTTTGTGGCAAGGAAGATAAATTGTCTTGAACTTGATCAGCAGTAAGTATAGGTTCTGTGTCAACAGGATCAGGAAAAGGCTCCAATATCTCTGAACTAGGCGTGTCAGCAAGATTATCATACAATGATTCTGATTTTGGTATATCTTCATTGATTTGTTTTTCTTTATCAATAAGTTCATCCAGACTCTGATTTAAATCATCTAGGCTATCGTCTAGCGTTGCTTGTCTGAGTTCTTCACTAGTAGCCTCAACATGGCGATTTTTTTCTGCATCGTGTTTCAGTTTTTCAAGAATTTCTAAGTGCTGACTGGGTGATTCTTCACTACTTATCTTTCTAAAGCTAGCTCCTTCAGCTACCTCCCTTTCAGCATCAGTAGAAATTGTAGCAGAATGCTCAGCTCCTGAAAAAATATCTAGATTTCCCCTCAACGGATCCATTTCTGGCAGATAATCAGTTTCTAAAGACAGCGAATTATTTGACTTATTCAAAGGTGGAGCTCTCCTTAATTCTGTATGTTGTTCAATTTCTGGTATATTGGAGTTGGATGGTGGCTCTATGACTTCATCAAAAGAGTCTAATGCTTCCTTGATTAATTCATCAGTGAACGCAACAGCAACTTCTCTAATTGCTTCTTCTGCTATCTGTTCATCCTCAATGGCTACATCATTAACATTTTCACTTAAATTTACTCTGGTTGAAGATACAGAATCATCTGCATCATTTGTGGTATTAGATTCTGTGTCTTCATCCTCTGGAGACTGAGGATTAGTTTCATTCTCTGTATATTCTTCTCTGATGTGTGCAGCTTCTATGTCTAATGCTTCTTTAAAAGCGGTTTCCACTAACTGAGATGATGTTTTTAAAAGCTGTTCTTCAATAGCTGGATCTACAAGGTCATTTTCTAAGTTATTATGATCAGTATTCACCATGTCATTACTATCTGGTTCTGTGCTATGTATTTCAACATTTTCAGTTGGAGACACTTCTTCATTGTCTGATGATTCATTATAAAGACTAGAGTCTGATTCTGGCTGTAGAAATTTGACACCAGATTCAGGGAAATACACACCACTTTTATCCATAATATCATCTTCAGTCTGGAGTGGAAGATCAGAAGGCTTTATTGGTTTTGGAAATGTGTCGCTATTGCAGGGATTATCTATAGGTGTTAAAGGATTGCTGTCAATCATGTAGTCACTCTTATCATCAAAACTGGTTGAAAGATCAGATTGTATGCTCGGTTGATGGACCAATTCAGCCCCAATCAATTTCCCCAAATGAGACTTTTCAACCACTGTGGGAACAGATTGTGTAAAAGATTCATCTCCTGGCTCCTCAGGAATTAGTTCTTGAGCTCCAAATCTGTCTTTTATTTCCATTGGTGATACATCAGAGTATGTTTCACTGTTTCCCTCATTAAAATCAAAACTTGTAGATAAATCAGACTGTATACTTGGTTGATGAACCATTGCATTTCTTATTCCATCAAAATTTGGCTTTAAAGTTGGAACTTCAACATCTTCATTATCTCTTGCTGGAATATTTTGGTCAAACATTTCATCAGCAGAAGACACACTTTCTTTGAAAATACCAGTTTCAAAACTTGGAGATGGATCTGAACCAAAACTCTGTTGAAAATCTAAAACATCCGTAATATTTTGTTCTTTTGGTGCTGACTCTGTTTGCTGATGTTCAGTGCTGGTCATGACATCAGTATCTATTGCAATATTTTGACCAGTAAAAGATGAAGATTCTCCTATTGGACTTGATAATTGATCAGCTTCAGGTTGATCACTGGCATTTGAAAAGAGATTTAAATTGTTGTTGCTTAAATTCCCAGAAGATTCATCATTGTCATCAAATCCAGTAACTATTTGTTCACCTTCAGTAGATATGGTACTAAATGGGTCAAAAACCTTTTCTTGTTGTGATGACATACTTTCCTCATCATTCAGTATAGAATCAAAAGGATTCGACTGTCTAAAAGGATTTGTTGACTCTCCATTTGATGAAGGTGTATTGCTTTTTTGTTCCTTAGTTGGGGAGTTTGGTGAATCTTCCTCACTTTTGATAGGAGCAAATGGGTCAAATACATTTCTATTGTCTTCTGGTTCGTCACTAAGAAGTGATGTAAAAGGATCAAATGCATTAGGATTGGGGTCAAAATTGTCTTCAAATGATCCTGTTGAATTTGTCTGTTGCTTTTCTTTTGTTTCTTCAGATACTTCATTAATATTGTCAATCGAATTATTCGTGTTCATCAACCCATTTAACAAGTCAAAAGAACTTTGATCTGTTAGGTTTAGTTTGGTGTCAATTATAAGATCTTCCTCATTTTCATGTGAATGTGAAGTCAAGCTGTCTGCTATTTCTGATGTCACAACATTAGTGGATTGTGAGTCTTCACATAAATTTTGAAGTAATTGTGTTGCAGCAATTTGAATACTTTCAGGTTCATTGGACATATCTGTTGAGATCTGTGATGCAACAACATTTCTTGCATTTTCTTCACCATTAGTAAAATCATTCAAAAAATCTTTAGAATTGTCTTCAGTTGAACTTTCCAGTTTAGGTTCAGAATCATCATAAACAGGGTTATCAAATGACATGTTGTCCATAATATTGGAAGCAAGAACATTATCCTTAGTGTCTGAATCGGTGAGTAGATCATCTAATAGACTTTCTGCATTATTATCATCTGGAGATCTCTCACTGGCTAAACTTTGTGACACTGTATCATTCTGTGTATCATTCTGTTCAACTTCTGTTTCAACTGATAAATCTTCTGTAATACCCAAACTAGTTTGTTGATCAGATGACATCTGCTGAGATAATTGGGAAGCAGCAATATTTTCCATTTCTTGCTCACTTGAAACTAAATCATTCAGTAAATCCTCTGGTTGATCAGAAAGAATCTGCTGGGTCATGTTAGAAGCAACAGCATTATCAGCCATTGGTTGAGTACTGGAAACATAAGGGCCTCCTGTAAGATCATTAAATAGCTCTTCTGGTTGATCAGATGATATCTGCTGAGTTAAATTGGAACTAACTGTGATATTCTCCATTGGTTGAGAATTTAAGACTTGAGAATATCCTAATAAATCATTGAATAGATCTTCTGGCTGATCAGATGACAACTGTTGAGTTAAATTGGAGGCTACCTCATTATCAGTTGACTGGGTAAGTGATACATTTGAATCTCCTAATAGATCGTTAAATAGATTCTCTGGATGATCAGATGACAACTGCTGAGATAAATTGGTAGCAATTTGATTACCATCATCTGCATTCGAAATTGAAGAACCTCCTAATAAATCATCAAATAGATTTTCTGGTTGATCAGATGACATCTGTTGAGTAATATGGGAAGAAGAGGCATTATCTGCAATAGGATCAGATGATAAGTCACTAAATATATCCAATGATTGATTTAATGACATCTGCTCTGATATTTGGGACTTGACAACATTGTCTTTAGATGTATCATCTAGTTTCACATTATCATCACTAGACATCATATTTTCCACAAAATCGTTGGAAACTGCTGTTAAACTATCTGAGGCTCCCGAGTCATTCAAAATAGACTTAAATAAATCATCTACTTGTTTCTCTTCAGACATCTGTTTGGGAATTTCAGAAAGCAAACCATTATTTACTGCTTCTGACTCGGTCAAAGAACTTGTATGCAATGAGGACTCTTCAGTGTTGGGAGATGCTTGAATATTTTTAGAATGCTCTGCAAGAATCATATCCTGGACAACTACTGGCTCATTTGGAGAATTCACATCACCTGATGATTCTGTATCAGATGATCCTGATTTCACCAAACCCATACTCAAAAGATCAGAAGATTTAGATGCCTCATCTAATTGCGCTGATTCTAAAAGATTATCTGTGGTGCTGATTCCAGAAATCTCATTGTTCAAATTACCATCTGATTCTGCATCAAACCTCTCTTCACTTAATCTCTTTGTTAATTCTGGTCCAGAAAATCCATGATTAGCAAACTGATCAAAAGACTTATCAACATAGCTGTTATGAGGTGTGTATGGAAAAGAATTCACACCTAAAGTTTCACCACCTGTAGCGTTATCTAATGATGCACGTTTTTCACGAATTTTAGCCACAAGATCAGAGTTTTGGAAACTGGGAAGATTTGTCTCTTTGGCAAATGTGTTAAAACTATCACTGATATAACTGTTAGCAGGTGTGAATGGTTCAGAATGTTCGCCATCAGAATTATTCTCTGAATCACTTTTACCCATGGATGCTTGCCTAGCCTTTATGATTTGCACCATTTCTGAATTATTAAAACTTGGTAAATCTTGCTGTCTACTCATTAAACCAGTGTCAAAATAACTATTAGGAGGTGTCACTGGGTAACTGGACATTTTCGAACCTTGTCCAGAGTTGGCCCCGCAAGCATAATCCAAAGGACTCTCTGTGCCTAAGTTGGTATTGACACCAAAGTTGTACATGTCAGCTTCTGTTAATTCAAAATTATCTTCTTCGTTGTTTGTGGTATTGTTTTCATAGTGGTGATTACTTGATAATGAACTACTGGTTACAGCTGGTTCAATATTAAATACATCATTACTGGTTGAAATACTGGTCGTACACTGTGTATTATTAGCATTAACTTCGCTATCATTATTATCACTAGATTTAACCGTATTAATGTCATTACTCATAGAGCCATTGGACCATTGATTACTGCTAGATGTCTCATTAGTGTGCTCTTGAAACAAATCACTTCCCTTCGTGTGTTTCTCACTATTGTCTATTGTATTGAGTTGAGTGCTGAAAGGATCGAACATATCCATGACTTCAGGTGACATAGTTTCATTACTGAGAATATGCTGTTCATGATCACTCTCGCCTTTTCCTGAATCAGCCATGGCACCAATTACTGAAGAATTACTCCCTTGATCACCAGGACTCACTGTATTTTGAAGTTGATTAATTGCTTCATCAGGGCTGGGTTCACCAGTTAAAAATCCTTTTATTACTGGCAAGATTTTTTTTCTGGAGGCCTGCACGTTGCCTTGACTATAAGCTTGTATATTATCAGTAGGGGCTGGTATCAGTTCTAGCTGTAAACTTGGACTTTGACAGACCACTAGTACATCATTTATCTATAATGAGAAAAAAAGGGATTGTAACCAGAGTAGAAAGGTATCATATTGGTAACTGTTCACTTTTTAATATGTACTTACAGACTTTTATTTATCAGATAACAATTAACAATTCATATTACTTTATGTTATGTATCCTATCTCAGTTTATAGATAAACATGCATTGAAATTATGTTATTGACACCTTAATTAAATTTTCAATGCAATCCTAAGAATTTATCAACAGATCATAAATAATTCCATGTGCTTTTTTTTCTAGTCATTATGAATTTTAAGATAAGAATTATCCTCATTAAATTCTATTTGATATAACTTTTTTTTATCAAAAATCATCAATATAATATGAAAGCATCACAATTAAGATGTATTAGCTTAGTAATACATGGTAACTAATGATCTACATGTATTACTACTATCATTAGTGCCATACCAGTAAATCCTATACTCTGTTAGTAGTCGTATATCATTATCATCTACAATGTGCTTCTTTCTCATCTAACTAAGTTTCCATATTAATGACCAAACGTGTAATTGTCAATATATGAAAGATTGAATTAACTGAAATATCCATAGTCAAAAGCTGCCATCTGTGTTACCACAATAATTGCACTACTAAACCTGTATAGCTAAATGAAGAGGCCTAATATTTTGTTTTGCATTATTTCTAAATAATATAAATGCTGTATAATAGAGGGTGAATATTCGATCAAATTTCAAAAAGAAAAAGGGGGAAATATTTACATCCTTGAAAATGTTTTTTGAATATGTGTAATACATTGTTTTTTAAAAGAAGAATATATATTGAAACCCTTTATTTTCAAGAATTTTCATTGTAGTTGAGGAATTAATCACCTTTTTTACTGGACATGTTGATATCTGTCATCTGGCAACTTCCATGAGACATCCAAACAATAAGATAACTGATAAAACTACACATACCTGTTGTTTATAAATTCTATTTTCACTATATAGAGCTAGTTGTCTAGTAGGACTGCCATCTTGGTTACTAAGTGTCATGATTATAACAACCTCAGCATTCTTTTCTTGACTTAATTTCTTTAACTCTGATTCCAAATCAGATCTTGTAAATAGTTCCTGTAACAACAGAAAGATACCTAATTAGACCGGAAGATGAAATTAGCTTGTTTTAATGAAATTGCTTTAGCATTTTATTTCCACTGATACCCTCATCAAATTGAGTTACATAATCTTCATGTAAAGTCTGTTTCCAGAAGAGGATATTAAATTTTCAATAGAAATTCCATGTGATTAAAACATTTTAAAAAGTACCCTATCATGATATCTTTCCACAGTTGGTTTCAAGAGGGAGAAAAGTTTCTTCTAAAAAGAGAAGATTGCTCTAGACCAATCAAACAAAATTGCTATCAAACAGAAGAAGAAATTTCCATGTGTAAACAAGAACCAAGCCACAAGACTTCCATGTGGAATCAGAGAAGATTAACCACCAGGGAATTAACCAAATCTATCTTTTCCTATTTCTATGTTCACATTATGTTGTCCAATGCTGAATGACCAATCTATGATTTTTGGATCATGTGATCTGATATTCTTTCCACTACTGTTTTATCAATCGTGAATGTCTGTTCTAATGTTGTTTTGATCATGAATGTCTGTTCTAATGTTGTTTTGATCTTGAATGTCTGTTCTAATATTCTTGAAATCATGAATGTCTGTTCTAATGTTGTTTTGATCATGAATGTCTGTTCTAATATTGTTTTGATCTAATGTCTTTTCAGTTGTAATTGTCTAATGTATTTTCAATTGTAATTGTCTAATCTAATGTATTTTTATTTGTAATTGTCTAATCTAACGTATTTTCAATTGTAATTGTCTAATCTAATGTATTTTCAATTGTAATTGTCTAATCTAATGTATTTTCAATTGTAATTGTCTAATTTAATGTATTTTCAATTGTAATTGTCTAATCTAATGTATTTTCAATTGTAATTGTCTAATCTAATGTATTTTCAATTGTAATTGTCTAATCTAATGTATTTTCAATTGTAATTGTCTAATCTAATGTATTTTCAATTGTAATTGTCTAATCTAATGTATTTTCAATTGTAATTGTCTAATTTAATGTATTTTCAATTGTAATTGTCTAATCTAATGTATTTTCAATTGTAATTGTCTAATCTAATGTATTTTCAATTGTAATTGTCTAATCTAATGTATTTTCAATTGTAATTGTCTAATCTAATGTATTTTCAATTGTAATTGTCTAATCTAACGTATTTTTATTTGTAATTGTCTAATCTAATGTATTTTTATTTGTAATTGTCTAATCTAATGTATTTTCAATTGTAATTGTCTAATCTAATGTATTTTCAATTGTAATTGTCTAATCTAATGTATTTTTATTTGTAATTGTCTAATCTAACGTATTTTTATTTGTAATTGTCTAATCTAATGTATTTTTATTTGTAATTGTCTAATCTAATGTATTTTCAATTGTAATTGTCTAATCTAATGTATTTTTATTTGTAATTGTCTAATCTAATGTATTTTCAATTGTAATTGTCTAATCTAACGTATTTTTATTTGTAATTGTCTAATCTAATGTATTTTTATTTGTAATTGTCTAATCTAACGTATTTTCAATTGTAATTGTCTAATCTAACGTATTTTTATTTGTAATTGTCTAATCTAATGTATTTTCAATTGTAATTGTCTAATCTAACGTATTTTTATTTGTAATTGTCTAATCTAATGTATTTTTATTTGTAATTGTCTAATCTAATGTATTTTTATTTGTAATTGTCTAATCTAATGTATTTTCAATTGTAATTGTCTAATCTAATGTATTTTCAATTGTAATTGTCTAATCTAATGTATTTTCAATTGTAATTGTCTAATCTAACATATTTTTATTTGTAATTGTCTAATCTAATGTATTTTCAATTGTAATTGTCTAATCTAATGTATTTTCAATTGTAATTGTCTAATCTAATGTATTTTTATTTGTAATTGTCTAATCTAATGTATTTTTATTTGTAATTGTCTAATCTAATGTATTTTTATTTGTAATTGTCTAAGAGTTTAAAGACATTAATGATTAATCTGCGAAAAAAATCAGATGATTGCCCTCCTATTTAGCTAAAGTCAGTAAGATATGAAAATGAAATAAGTATCAATTAAAAATACCTTAGTATTTGATTGATTAGAAAGATGTCTAGGTACTGACGTCATTACAGATAGAAATAGTATGACATGTCATCTTATCATATCATTACTAATATAATATATTTGTTTGTTTTTTCATTCTTGTCTACACTCTTAGTGCAAAATGACAATTACATAGTCTCTTAACAATTTAGTTATATTAGTTTTGAATAAATTATTTTGTCTCAAGTAAAATTAACCTAAGCATTCTTTACTGCCATTCTATGTTTTCCTACATTTTAAACAAGTTAAAACAATTATTTTATTGTCTATGAAACATATTACTCTATTTTTATTATCATTCCAAACATATTAACAAAGATATTTGAAGCACTTAAAATGAAATGAAAAAAAAAATGATTGCAAATGTATTTATTATCAACTCCTGTTAAGAGTCAAATAGTTGAGAAAGATAACTTTTGAATTCAGGGAACAAACTTTTCTTAATAATACAAGGGAAACATTAATGGTCTAAACTATCGCCTTAATCCTTAAATCGCTCTATTGATGATATTTAGACCACCTAGTCATTTTTCGCAAAACCTCTTGGCCATGACCATTCCCTGAAATTCATATATTACAGTTTTGTTCAAGGAAATATAATCTGAATGATAGGAGAATAATAAAATATTTAGTATTTATCAGAGAAAAAAGAAGTAATTAAGAGAAAAAGGTCAACAGAAGTAAAAAATCAATGGTCATATAAAAACTATATATACTAGTTATACCAATAAAATATATAAATAGAATTAAAATCAATTTCTACATTTAGTGTTTAGACCGTTAACAATCTGTTTAACTGTAAACATAAAGCCTCAACAATAAACCTGTATTAATTCAGTATGCTTATAAAGTGGTATCTGCCATAAACAGTCAATCAAACCTAGTAGATCAAACCAGTAAAAAACCAGTCAAAACCAGAACCATCCAAAGTGAAACCTGTAACTTCTGGTTAAAATACAGTAGATATATCAAAAGTCCAAAACCTGTCCTGAATCATTTACAGGGACTGCAATGAGGTTTTCTGAAAATTTTTTGTGTATCAGAGACATAGCAACAATTTGCACCATTCCAATTTTACGATTAGCTGTTTGGTTCCTGCAATTCCACTAAAACTAAGTGTTTGATGATGTCACTATTTTGACAGTTATTTAGTTATTTTGGAGGCAGTGTCAGCTAAATAAGCTTTCTGATAACATTTTGAACAGTAGAAACATTTCAGACTCATTAAACAGTGAAGAGATAAGGCATTCTATCTTAAAGAAATTTTATCAGACTATTATTATCTGGTTTTGGTGTTGAGAATTTAAAGATGATGTTGCAATGATGGACTATAATGCTCAATGTCTTGTTCAGTTATGTTCAGATCTTATAACTTTCATGATTCCATTGCAGGTATGGCATCATACCAAATATATCTACATCTATTCCATGAGAAAATCAAACAATTCAAAAGGTGACAATAAAAAATAAAAAATAATTTCTATGACAAGATTTCACTCAGAGATGGTGTACAAACATAAAGTAACCATAGGAGCAAGTTACTATATCTAAGGTAGAAAGGATATTTCAAACCTTTCACAACTTAACATTCAAAAAAATAATTTCTCTATAATCATCTATTTTATTTTTCCTGCAACTTCAGACTATGACTCCTTTCAAAGAACAACAAATTCAAACCCTTAAATCAAATATATACAATTTTTAACTGGAATCGATCCATTGTTAGTTTACAGACTATTTCAAATCACGTTGAACTCTACTGATCTTTAATTTCAAAGACAAAAAAAACTGAATTTACCTTCATCTCCATGGTAACAGAACACATAGCAACAATCAAATTATTTCCATGAATTAATTTCATATCTTTCTCAAGAATTTCTGAAGTTGTCAAACCTGTTTAATATAAAAGAAAAGATAAAAGAAGAACAGAGTAAAAGTAATTGTGTTCTGAAGACAAATCTTCTGGCATTCAAATCTAACATGAATGTTTAATGGTGATATTAACATTTAGTCAGCATGTTGAAAAGACAAGAGAGAATGATACCAACTTAATACGACAAGCTATGTCGTAAATGTAAGAAGATAATAAAAACCAATACTTTTTGCTTCCCACATGTCATTGTATCTTTTGCATGTAAATTTTGTTACACCCAACACCTCTGATCTTTAGTAGAGAACTGGCTAATAGCTCAATTTCAGCTATTGGTATCACATCAAAATCAAACTGTCTGACTATGTTACAGATATCAGAAAATTCTGGTACAGTTGGTAAAGCAAATATTAAGATAACTTTATCATTTTAATAATGCTACTTAAACTGAATTAACCAAGAATAATTATAAATCATTAAATGTTTTTTAACATATAACACACCTGATAAATCAAATTTGGCATCATTGAGATCCTCATATAATGTATCTCTATCTACACCCATTTCTTCTAATGTATCTTCTAATTTGTGTATCATTAATGTATCTTTATCTGTTGTTTTACCAGCTTCTGGTGACATATTGATGGTATCAATCAATATTGTTCCTGAAAGTACATAATACAGATTATGTAGAAAATGTCATATCAGCTTTACATATTGGCTATTACTGGCTTTTGTGATATGTTAATAGCTGTAGTATGATTCTCTTAAAGACTTAAAGAACTACAAAAGAGAACCTAAAGCCTTTGTATGTGTATCTATTAGAATTCTTTTCCACTATATTTTGATGTCTGTGGTTACAGTAACTGCATATAATGATTTCACTATTGCAAATACAATTTCTGTAATTTCAGGAACCACTGGTTTGGACAAAATATGAGAGTAGTGCCAATAATTGAAGCTACATATAATGCATAATTATACAACTAGAAAACCTCTTTTGGAAGCCTCAAAGACAAAAGCAAATCAAATACATTGTTTATTGTATGTTATAATGAATCCTTTTGAAAGCATTTGTATACTCCAAGAAGGGTTTGAAAAATATTGTTTTCTCATCTTACATTATCTTCTTACCTTTATACAACATAACAATGTCTGATATTTAATAGATCGGATATATAGGATAGGCTGTAGGTTGTGTTATTATTTAGAGATTCAAATGTCAAGGCAAGCAAGTCACAAAACTTTGAATTGTTCCTCAGCACTCTCAGTTTACGAGGAAATGTTCATAATATTACTACAGGAATTTACTAACCATATTAATAATATTTAACATATTCTATAAGTTCAAACATCTATCAATTGCTTAGACTACAGCAGTTAAACAATATCAACTACTTATTTATATGTATGATTCAAAGCCAGAGAATAAATCATTGAACGAATTTCAAACAATAAGTATATTATATAAATTAGTCATAACTATGAAGTCATAATGACATAATTTCTTTAGTTCTGACATGTTCACATATAGGTTATAACAACCTTCTTAGTAAATACTTATAACATAACATATACATAGACTTATCCTATACGGGCCTTGATATACACATTTATACAAACATTTAACATTTAATCAATCTTAACTTTTATGAAAAAAAAAGAAATGCTACTGGCAATTGCACTCAAAAGAACTTTGGTTATACATACTACTTTTAAAGGTGCTTTATGCTTTTTTCGTAAGTTTTTTGGCTCAAATTTATGCAAACACTATACTAAAATAAAGAGAAATGTGTCCCTTAACTTATCTGAATGTTTTAATTAAAAACTTCACCTGTTTTTTTCAGCCAAAACTACCTAAAACGTTTATGTAAAATTTTTAAGTACGTTATGCTGTTTGGTAGATGTTAAAAAAACTACTGATTTAGGTAAAATAAACTCTTAATTGTATAGTAATCTGTCTCCTACGTATTCTAAAGGTTTCAACTAATAATGTTCTGTCTCTATGAACCATCAACAAAACTAGTTTAATCTTCTTTATAATTAGTACACTCTGTTTTAATTAACCCTTTTTAAAGCAAATTTAGTTTGATCAAGTAGATAACAATTTTAGAAATATTTTCATGTATAATCTTAGACGTTTTTTTGATAATGAAAAGTTTGCATACTGCCCCTTTAAGTAAAATGAAACATCACACAGTTGCTAATTAAGGGAAGTTATGAATACATGTAGTAAGAATATTCCTCTCTATTTAATAATATTCATGAAGTTTGTTAAATACAGAAGAACCTCAACCTATCAGACCTTACATCAACTAAACTAATATGAGAAATAAAGCCAAATAGACTTTAAGGTTGAGCAACCATCTACAGAAAATTAACACTTTAACACTTAGCTATAATCATACCCAAAATTTTGAGGGTTGAGTTATCAACACACAAAGGCAATTTTATTGAATATTGTGCATTACCAGTGATTACTTTGTTTGAATCCTTAAATTCAGTGGATGATGTCACAAAGTAAAAAAATTAATAAACAAAATGAAATTGATTTAAAAAAGTGCCAAGTAAAAAAATGGTAAAATGAGACCTCATGCGAATATAGTAATTTCACTGAGAAAAAAACTATTTAAAATTAGAATAATACCTGAAAGACTATAGAATCCAAAGGTTCCTTACTTTATAGATATAAGTATAGTAGTAGAGCAAGTTATCAGAAACTGTAGATGAGAGATTTGTTAAGATTCTAATCACTCTATCTATTATAAAGATGAGTGTAAAATCCATTGAATGACTAATATTGATTCATATTAATGTATTCAGTAAAACAAGCAATTAGTAATATACTGATTGCTGATGTATTTTTAATTTGTGTATTGTTTCCTCTTTATATTACATGTATTCTGGTACAGGCTGGTACTTCTACTTGTATACCAATTATCAACTAAATTATCTATTGTCTCTAAATAGCAATTTAAACATAGCCTTGTGAAGCAAGGTGACATACGCCCACCAGCAGCTTTGATTGATTGTTTGTAGTCTGTAGAGTGAGCACGAGCCAACGGACAGATGACAATATGCTTCCACACTACAAGTGTGCAAATGAAAATCAAAAGAATCCATAAAGGATTATAAGAGTGAGCCTGAGCCAGATATGAACGGATGAACCTATAGATTCATTGGGCGATTACAATATATGATCACATTATAATGTGGGTGTATAAAAAGGGAAATTTCTTTATGCAAACATCTTTATTTGGAATATGTCACTTGCCATGTGCAGAACCCCACCTCCAGATGTTGTTGTGAATGAAACCCAAAACTCAACTTCAACTTCCACAAATTTAAAATCTTGTAGTTTAAAATTTGGCCATAAACTTTTGTTTTATTACATAATGTACTTAGTACACAACTTTAGAGATTAGGGTGATTGAAGAGTAACAAGTTACTATTCAATATAAGGTACTGGCACAGGGTAAAGTTATGTTTACAATAATTATTGTGATGCTAATATGCAATGAACTAAATCAAAGAACTTTACAATAAGTAATAAATTGTCAAATGACATAGAGTTTTAGAAACAGGTCTCAGTACTTTTCCAATATAACTTGGCAGTCTAATCTATACTGATAAATCTCAAATAAGAAAGAAGTTTCCTTTAGGGCTCACTTAAATGCAGCAGATCATAACCCAAATTTATCAAAATAGGTCAGTTTATGCAATTCATCTTGTCTATTATTGTAAAAATCTTTTTAATCACCTCTGTTAATGGCCATAGAATGATGGCATTTATATTATACTGTTCCAAAATGAATCAACCTTAATTGGATTCCAGTATAAAAACTAGAACTGTGTACACTATTCTATAATTATGTTTGACCTTGTCCCTACTTTCTTTATATAATCAATTTACAACATAAAGATGGCAAAGGTTCTTCCATTACACTTCTCTTACATTATGTGATAAAAACATAGTAAATCACATTTACAATTTAAAAATTGCATTACCCTGAGAAGTTTATTGAATTCTGTTCAAGATTATATAATAAAGAATAGATGACTGCTCTACACTGATAAGTAATAAATTTTATATCTCAATCATTCTGAAACGTGATTTGATGGAAAATCAATTTGTTATATAGTATATAATGTACTGTTTTTAAATTTATAACATTTCAGACAATACTATTTCAACTGAGAAATATGTTTTCTGTCATTTTCTAACATAGTACTTTATTGAACCTAATGGACTTAAAAATATATTTCAATGAAATGGAATTTAAAGCAGTTTTTTTGCTTTGATTACAAGCAAAGTTTTTAATTTGTGGTCAGAGGCAAATGATCATATCAGATAATCTGAAATAAATTAATTAACTGAATACATATATACGGAAGCGTATTAGGGCCATTCAATTTTTTTTTTTTTTAATTTTCAAGTTAGTATGTTGAATTTTTAAGTAAGTAACTTGAATTTTCAAGTTAGTATCTTGAATTTTAAAGTTAGTATCTTGAATTTTCAAGCTAGTATGTTGAATTTTTAAGTAAGTAACTTGAATTTTCAAGTTAGTATCTTGAATTTTCAAGCTAGTATGTTGAATTTTTAAGTAAGTAACTTGAATTTTCAAGTTAGTATCTTGAATTTTCAAGCTAGTATGTTGAATTTTCAAGCTAGTATGTTGAATTTTCAAGTTAGTATGTTGAATTTTCAAGTTAGTATGTTGAATTTTCAAGTTAATATCTTGAATTTTCAAGTTTGTATCTTGAATTTTCAAGTTAGTATCTCGAATCTTACAAGTTAAAATTCGAACATACTAACTTAAAAATTCAACATACTAACTTGAAAATTCAAAAAAAAAAAAAGTGAATGGCCCTAATACGCTTCCGTAATACATATATATATATATATAATTTTGAAAAAAAAAACAACTTTTTGCACAAATTTCATGCATGGTATAATTTAAAAAATGGTTCAAATTCAAATAAGAGCTTTGTTACCGTTTGCATTTCACTAAGGATATATTGTATAGGATCGTTAAAATCAGAGCTGCACTTCTTATGTCTTCTACTTGTGACCAAAGCAAGTTCTTCAATAGAAGAGTTTTTCTATAAAAGCTCTGTCGATATCAAGAAAGATTGTGATTGTACAATGTTTAAATTAATAGAAGCCAAGAATGGCAAGTAAATTAAGTTAAGTATTTACCATAAAGGAGAACATTAACGATGCCATCAAATGGGAAGTCTGGATTGCCTACAACTTCTTCGGCTATTAAGGTACAACATGATCCCACTGGTTCTATTATACATTCAACACTGCAATAGATTACATACAAAACCTTTTATTATGTTGAAGCAAATGTAGAAAGTTTATCTTTATAGTTCTGGGAGACAGTGAAACAATAAAGAAGATTGCCAGGCAACGTAATATTCACAATTTGGTAGCTCTGTTTAAGACGTTTCAAATAATTGAAACCATCACTACATAAAGCAACTGAATAACATAGTAAACAGTAGTAGAGGTATGAATTTATGATATTGATAAAATGCAACATTCCTGAATTTTCTGGAGTCCTCATGAGGACTAAATCATTATCTGTTTTTTCAACTATTAATCTCATCCTAGATCTCACAACATGAGATAATCAGAGATGCCAATTTTCATCATTGATAAAACGAAGCCTGTTTTTGGGCTTGCAAACTCATTTTGGTAAATAACCTTAAAAGCTATTTATCATACTTAAGTCAATTTTAATTAATTTGAGGTTTCATCATTAAGGGAGATGGTGAAAAAAGGTGGTAATAGAAAATTTATCATTTGACACATTAGATGATGTGTTATATAATAAAATAATAATATTGACTGTATTATTAATATCAAACACATTAACAGACATTATGTTTTAGCACCTACTTGTTTCACAACCTTTAACATCTATTTTCTCACTTTTTATCCAAAGATGATTGAAGTTTAAACAGGGAATTCAGACAAGGCTCAGCTTTATCACTGTCACAGAAAACAG